AACAGAGCTCGAGTAGAGAGCTTTATTCACGTGAGCCACGTGCAGAGAAGAAGTGAAATCGAAAGTAAATTGAAAGCTATCTCAAGTCAAGGTTGACCTTGACTTGATAAAAGCGTAACAAAACAAATGTTAATAAATTAATGTAAATAAAATCAGAAACCAATCTTGGGGAATCGTGGATTTCCAACACTTAGGTATAAATGTGTCTTTCCCCCCAAACAACAAATATTAAAATGCTAACGGCAAATGTGAAATGTTACGTGATATGTTTTTAATATATCACTTCTAGCGTATTGTCAATAATGCGATAAAGAAAATATTGCAGCGCTTTTATTATTAATATTCGTAAATTTTAATTGATGAGGCACATTAAACACTCATTACTGCCTGGCTATGAAAGCCACGGATTTGTGGTCATTCCTATGGAAAAGGCTTATTAGCACTTGTCATTCTTTAAAAACAATTAATGAATGCAGGACATAATCGTTGATTTGAAATTTTTATTAACAACTTATCTGGTGTCAGTTGACCTGATTATTCATGTTAGGCACACACATTAAAAATTACGCCGTTGGTTCTCTCTTAAATTACGAAAGTTCGCATGTAAAATCAAGAGAATTTAACAAATTCAAGTATATCTAATAAAATTGTGATTTGGTGGTTTTTATTTGCGTGAGTTGACTCGCTACCTGAAGAAAACGAGTCGGCAATAAAACTTTCTGGCAGTTAAATGACTAGGTTGATGCGGAAAACGCGAAACTTAGCCAAAAGCAGTAAAACACAAAATAAGTCGTTTAGATTTGTACGCTACAGGCGTTTGGAATCAGCAGTTTTGCTGATAAAGGGAAAGCCAACGAAAACAACCCACTGGGTGGTTCAAAGTTAGATAACATTCAATTGAGTCGTCGAAACCAAAAAAGCAAAAACTGAAGCTATAAGAATGGTTTTGTAAAAAGGCGCAATTATGCTCAATTAGTTACTTCATTCAGTAATGTATGGGCAGAACATATCTAAGGTATTGACAGACCGCACTGCCTTTACTTCATTGTAAAAAAAGGCGAAAAAAATTAGTGCATTGTTTGAACTTAAATGGTTTAGTAAGTTTAAGTGGTGAGGCATTTGTCAATGACACTGTCTTCATATGATGCGCAAAAACAACAAAACACCCTAGCTGCTTTAATAGCACAATAACATGCTATTTTACTGTAGAAACCCTACTTAAACAACATTTAGTCTTTAATTAAACAACTACGCAAGATTTATTCTATATTGTCTACTAATTATGTGCTAAAACGGCGGTCAAAGTCTAATATTTAAAAAAAATACCTAATTGCTTACTAAAGCCAACATTAAGTTAACAAATCATTTGAGGAATTATAATCGTTCTTGCTGATCCGGAGTTGGATCTATAGCCCCAAACCATATTTTAAGTTACTACAATTTTTAGAAATTGGACAACAGCAGTTTTGTCTATTGAAAATAAAATTCTTCAACGGCAGTTTTAAAAAGAGTAAACATTATCAGCACACAAAACAGCGACGTGTAAATATCATGAAATGAAAGTTTGTTATTTTCCTTAGAATGACTTCAGTATACGCTAGTTAGTTGTGAAGTAATCTTAAGCACAACTAATCTGCGTCAAGTTTAGTCAAACACGTCATTTAAAAGTGATTTTTTAATGCTTTTAAAATTTTGTAACAACCCGAATTGTTTTTCACGGTAAGAAACGGTGCCGATAAAGGTGCCACCAAATTGTTTGTCTTTAAGGTAAATTTTTGCAACATTTTGTTCGTTTTCGCCGGAAGAAAATAATAGAAAGCGCACAGGTGTTTTTTTAAGTGAACGTAAATGAATGTAAAAAACTTACATATGTAAAAGTAATTGCTGCTTTAAAGGAATGCACAAAAGCTTAATTTTGTGTGTTCGTTACAAATAACATCTCTAAAGCTCTAAACGTAGAGCTAATTCGTTTGTTTTCTGGGCTTTAGCTACAGGCGAAAAATTACCAAAGGATTTTGCAGGAACAAAGTTAATTCAAGTTATTGTGGCAGTGTTGTGTTCGAAATGTCCCACTTAGTCCATTCCAAAAATGACTGTCAGTATTATGTCATTTTGACGTGGAAGGTTGCATTGCAATGTTTATTTACCTTATGTTAGCTCTTCAAACTATTTTTACACAATTTTGAAAGCGTTGTCTATGCGTGGATAACTACATATACCTGAAGGAGATCCAGTCAGCAAAACGTATTTCTATTCGTGGAATTTTTGTTTAAGTGGGAACTTTAATAGTCAACAGAGTATTAAGACTAATTTGTCAAAGAATTTTCCGTTGTGATTTGAGATATTGTGTTTTTTAATACCAAAACATTTTGTGAATATTTGCGTTTCGGAGATGGGTAAAAAGTAAGCCATACGCATCACGTGTAATATTCTTGTTTATTCTAGCAGAGTATTTTAAGACTATCCGTACTGCGACATCCATAAACACATTAAATTAAAAATTTTGTATTAATTTGGAATTGATTCAATCAAACAAACTTAAATGTCTAGGTAGACCATGTAGTTCAACCACTTGAGTCCTTATTATTATTAAACCTGAATTGGTTACATGTAAGTAAAGCACCTTGTAGTTTTTACCTAATGAGGTTCAGGTAAAATTGGTAGGTATCACCTTGTTTGTTAATTTCGCAAATGCGACTAGCACAAAAATATCCCCAATGTAATTGTGCTGCAACCAAACTACACATTAAGAAAACCACTGCACAGAATCTCTTGCCCGATGCAAGTCCCAGCCTCTTTGGGCAAAAAAAGACATCTTCTACAGGGAGATTTTACTGTCCTAGTCCAAAGTCCAAGGTTGAGTGACTTTTTGTCATGGGTCTACTCAGAAGTGCCTGAGTGATCTTGGTCAAGTGAGGTGAGGATGATTAACACCACGCGGCGAGCTGTTTATGTGAGCTTTGTAAAACCGTGACTGTGCAGCGGTAATCGTGTGAACAGAGCCAAGTAAATAGATGAGTCACAGTCTCGGTGTCATTAATTAATTTTTCCCAAGGAATGCTTGCATCTTTATTTTTGGATGCACTGATAAATCTTTGGCATTATGGTTATAACTCTGACTACCAAGACAACTCAAGATTTGCACTAAAAGAAGACAACTGCCTATCTTTCGTGTTTTGTTAAAAAAAGCACTTATTAGGGCCGAGTGGAGTCAGGTTTGTGGCCTTCTTATGATAAGAGGGTTTAATTCTGTTATCTGGAGTCGTAATCTTTGCACTGTATGGTTCCATTTTCTGGTTAATACTCAGCTTAAAGAAATCCGGTTACGTTTTAAACTGGAAAAAAAAACAACCTTAAGGTGGCAAAAGCGCCGCTTTTGACCAAACGTCAATAGTTTGGCTAGAAGAATTACTTTTAGGTTGGAGATTAAGTCTGTTTCAATTTTGCATTTTAGTTAACGGATGAGGAGCGTGTGTATTTAAATGCAGCCTCTCTTGGTGATGTTGGTGTCATTCGCATGTCCCTCGAAGACGCAGATTCTTGTCCTAATTTTAACGTTAATTGCGTCGACTACATGGGCCGGAACGCTCTCCACTTGGCCGTCGACTCGGAAAATATCGAGGCTATTGAGATGCTACTAGACAAACTTTCATTTGAATGCATTGAAGAAGCTCTTCTGCATGGAATATCTAAGGGTCTAGTAAAAATCGTTCGGGTTATCATTGAACATCCAAACTACATGGCCTGCGAAGAGAGATTGAAAAGAATTGATTCTAAAAATTCGTTCTTCCGCACGACAGAAAAAAGCCAGTTTTCCCCAGACATTACCCCACTCATTCTCTCGGCTCACTACAACAATCACGAAATGGTTCAGATGTTCCTCTCGCGATCCCACACTATCGAGAAACCGCACCCGATTTCTTGCCAGTGCACCGACTGCCAAGTGAAGCAAGACTATGACTCATTAAAGCGATCCCGATCCCGCCTTAATGCCTATCGAGCACTCGCGAGTCCCGCGTACATGGCCCTCAGTTCGCCCGACCCTATCATGGCAACTTTTGAATTGCGCCAGGAGATGATGAAGTTGGCTGAAATAGAAAAGGAATTTAAGGTAAGTAATGCATACCACTGATTTTGGGTTTGATAGATAAAGAGATTGAACGATCTATTTATCCTAACTTATTAGCTAATGTTGTGCTTAAGATCGTAGAAATATCACTAACACAGGATCTTCTTAAGAAATTAACGGTTGTGACAAAAAAATACGTAACTCGTAGATAGGAAATAATCGATAATTGCTAAAAGAACCCCCATTCGTTATTTACATTGCAATGTCGGGAAAATATGAATTTGCGTAATTAGGATTTTTGATTTAATTTATCCCGCTACATTTAAAATAGTAATAACAGCTCTGAAAACCAGAGACGCATATCTTTTTTACAAGTAATCATTTGCAAAATATGAAAACGTGTTTATATGCAAGCTCCTGTAATGACAACTGGAATTAATTGGTTCTTATTTAAGGAAATTCATGCGCCATGCGTTTATGACTTTGATTCTGCTAGAAACTCTTGCTTACAAATAGAAAAACGCAACTCACTGGTAATGTTACTTCAGGTTTTTTATTTCATTTCACAGAAGCCATAATTGTTCGATCGTGATAATGTTTCTGTATCAACCTGAAACCTAGTTGGCCACTAAGGTTATTAACACCAGGGGAAGGTAGATACAAAAATTTGTATATTTGTAGTCAGATTGCTGAATCATGTGCCTTGTAATTAATCCAAGTTGAACGGATTTGCAGAAATTAAGCCAATCTATTTTGAGCGTTAGACAACGCATTTTAATGTCTCCCTATAAACCGTGTTCATCGGTAACCCTTATCACACTTTACAGTTGTGTAAGGAACCTTAATGTAATACTTTCTTTTGCACTAAGAAAGTTTTGATAAATGGGCTTTTGAAAGCTTGTTCTTGATATGTTCTATTTTTTCCTACAGCCAAAACCTTTTTAAGTTTGGTTGCTCAAGCTACGTCCTAGACTTTTTTCATTCATATCAAGACTATGAGTCTATGTTACGTTTGCTTGGTTCGTAACGTCATAATTTTCTTATTAACGGCATTCTTCACATTAGAACATCGTTAAATGTGACGTGATGCGCCGTCTAATGAATCGTCCATGCTTTAGAAAAAACGGTGAAATATTAAATTAGTAGACTATCAGTCAATCTCACTTTGCACTGCCAACAATGGGACGTAATAACAGACATTTGCAAGGCCCAGTTTGTTATTGTAGTGCACAAATTGACACGCCTAAATGGAAAATTTGTTTACAGATATGCGAAGTTGCGTGTAAGTACTCAAGCAGAAAAAAGGCCGGACAAAATTTGTTTTTCTTCCAATTAGCGAGAGTACCTAACATTGGTTGAGCAATGCATGAACTTTGCCTGCGAAATGATGGATCTCTGTCGAGGGACCCAGGAAGTCGAGGCCGTGATTTCGGACTTCCTCGAGGACGGAGCCAATGTCCGGGATCCTCTTGGGCGCCTCCGTTTGGCAATACGCTTCGAAGAAAAGAAAGTGGGTATTTGTTACACTTTGGTGTATTTAATCCTCATGCAATACTCCTTTTTTCTCTGATATGGCATAAATTTTTTTTAAAGTATAATGAATCAAACATTGGGTGAAAGTTGCTTTGTTTAATAGATGCTTGTGGTTAAAATCAAAACTCAATTCGTAATGCTGACAATAAGACCTAAAACTGACGTTTTTGTATAGACTATCATTGTTGATTGTTTCAAGTTTGGACGGTCTTACTTAGATAGAAAACTGTTCACTTCAATCAACAGAACATCCATTCTTTTTTCCTATAATGTATTTGAAAGGAATACATGTATAGAAATTACATTGCTACCTTAATACGTAAAAAAGGTGTATGGTTTTTGTAAATTTCTAAATCCCATTTTCATAATACCATTTCACTAATTATAAGTAACCTTTACTTAAAATGAAAGGACGCTATTTAAAGATATTAGTTGGCAAAGTCGAAGGGGCCGCCTAGGAGCTGTTTAAAATTTCAACGAATTCTCTTTGACAAACGGCGGCGTTTTAGTACGCGAATAAATGCCGCCGAGAACTAAAGTTGCATTGTAATTATATGTGATTTGTTTACGGTTAATAAGTCACTTTTTATGCGTGTTAATGGTAATTCAGTTGTCTACTTTGATATTGCATCATCACCAATAATTCCAAGACTCTTACGTAGGTCGCAAAGGCTGATTAAAAATCAGCACCAAGTAGCCACATACAGAGATGCTGCTATAAATAGTTATCTTTAAAATTCATACACAACAAAACTGCTATTATTATTTCATCATTAGAAGCTTGATTTTATGCAACAAATTTCATTGTTTCTTATGTATTTTCTAGGAAAATTATTTTAAGGACTTTTTTTGTAGACAATAGCAAATTAAGCAAATTGCTGAAATCGATGAACAATGAAGACAGTCTAGAGCGTTTACCAACGTGTGCGTGCTATCCCAAACAATAAATAGTACGACAGCGAAAAGAGTAAACATGGAATAATCACAACAAAAATCTACATCAGGCTATTTTATGAATTGAATGGTGTACCAACAAAACCGGTACAGTAAAACAAATGTTTTTAATAAAATAACATGACACATGTTAGGCAAAAAACTCTACTAAGCCAACGTGTGGGCAATCTAAGAAGTGAAAATGTCCTACGCACTCAGTATTACTTTTCTGTAGACTAAACGTATTTTAGTAGTCGATTTCTGAATTTCTAGTTGACGCTTTCATCAAATTGTCCACTGAGTAAGAAAACCGTGATATTTGGTAATTTATATAAGCATAAATATTCATCTTAATATTCCTGATTCGAGCGATTTTGCGTATTTTAAATTACCCTAAGCATGACAATGAACGCTTTTAGACTATTACGTAAAAATTACCTATCTATTTATAAACTTGACTTAAGTTAAGAAACAAACTGTAGGCAAAAATATTATTCTTCAATAATTACACTTTACACCAATTTAAATAAAACAGTAATTGAGTGTTAAACCATACAAGAAATTTAGAATATTTTTAAAGTATCGCATGAAGTCGTTTATCAACTGCCAAAGTAAAGCTAAAATAAAGTAAAAAACCGTGAAAGGATTTTAATAATATCAGATTTTACATAAAATTTATGTTATAAGCAAAGTGGTTGCAAAAAAGCATATTCGTGTAATGGTGACTATGCTAATAATTCTTCAATAAAATCACACGATTATCTGACGGTTACACTGAAAGTCAACGTCACATTTAAAGGAATTTAATCAAAGATAATTGTATTCTAGGTTGATAGAAAATGAGCTTAAAAAGAAGTGATTAGGGACGGCATAAAATATTCAAACATTGGCTTTATCGTGCTTTAGCTCTTTGGACAGTTGAAAAGTGCCCAGTTTAATATCCATGTGATTTAAATCTGGACGACGTTTAGAGCTTGAGGATGACTTCCTTCATACTTTCAAGCATAACTTTTCCTGAATTATTAAAGTAGGGATTTGTGTCAACTAAGTGTCAGCAATGCACCTAAGTTCCACCGGTTAACGTACTTTAAGTCTCAGTTTATGAGTTCCGTAAATTATGAAAGAGCGGAAAAGCAAACCATCTTCTCCATAGCCGCAACGAATCTCACACGTCAATAACACAATTCATTCATAAACCATTACGTAGATAAGAGTTGGGTACTGTTTATAGTGAATCATGAAGCAATTAGGCAAAAGCACAGATTGACAACGATTAAATTGTGTCTTGTTAAAATTCAGAATTGATTACGGGACTTCATGCTCTGCAAACTTCTTACGCATGGCTGCACAAAACTATGAAAAAGTGCTGTAAGCAATTCACCTAATTCAGTTTTTAAATTCAAGCAGTCAATTGTAAGGCCACCATCTTTTACCGTGATAACGCTTGACAGCATTCCGTTTAACAGACTTGAAAATCCTGATCTTACCCCTTTGAAGTTTTTGGTTGTTCCTTTTTTTCCCAAAAAAAATTTTAAATGTGAATGAATGATTTACAGGAAGAAGCCAAAAAATACATATTGACTTTTCCAACAAAAAACAATCCGCATTTTCCAAAAATTGGATCTTGTCAATTTTTGTACCGCGGTAAGTAAGTGATAGGAGATGACAATGGACACATAAGTGATTAATCGATTCTTAGTGACTGAAAATTATTGTATTTCGTTCCTGTTTCAGCGCAGCGCAAACCGTTTCATTCAACGAATACAAGACTCCATTACCACTTAAAAATATATAATAATGCGAATTAAAGTAATATAGATAGTCAGTGTGTTATGCACTAGCAGCTGCTATAAAATGATAGCACTCTAGTATTATTCCAAAACTGGAATAAATCCGAAAAGGATATATATTGGTAAAATGGATTTTTTTTGCAAAAACATTAGTTCTGGGTAAACTAACACAAACAAATTTGCAAATTTATTTCATTCTACGTCTGTTTCTATCTACTTATGGTGCTAACAATGTGCGTCCTACACCAAAAACATTAAATTGTATACGAAAAATCGCCATTCTTATCTCTATCGCTATATGCCATTTCAAAAAATCTGCAAAAATAAATTGACACTGTAGATGCCACTGGCTAATTTGCTGTTGTTTAGCCCACGCTGCACCAAACTTATGCTATTTTATCATTACACATGTCTTGTTTTTTGGAGGGAAACATTTTTGCTGACTTAAGTGTTCAGTCAAGTTTGATGAAAGATCAGTAACTTGGGTTGTCGCAACTTTCATCCAAGACTACTTGTAATAATTTCTGCAACCTGTTTTAATGTTGACAAACTATAGAGTGGCTATTGGAGATGGAATTTTATCTTTTCAACCAAAAATTTAGAGTTGGTTGCAGCGGTTCATTTCTCTAAAATTATTGTGTGTCAACAAGAAAGTAATGATTGCACTGCTGGCGTTTTTTGTCCTTTTTCCTGCTGCCACAACATTTAATTACGTTTAAGTCAAACCTCATTGTTGCTGAAATTCTTTCCAAAAGGTCGCATGCTGAGAAAGGAAATTCCCTTGCAAAAATGCCAGTCATGTTAACGTTTTAAGCCTCTTTATGTTTAATACAGATTTTTTTAGTTCTATAGTTCCGTCAGATTCGTAAGCGAAGAGATATACTATATGCACTCTCGGGCTTCATTCAAAATTAAGTAGGACAAAGGATGCAATTCAAATAAGGCTAAAAAGCAATTTCAGAAGAGCCTTTTTAAGATGTGACACTCAAAATCAACGTGTAATCTTAGGAGTGCTTGAATCAAATTGTTATGAGCGAACTACCTTCCCTATCCACCCGTTTGGCTTTCTAGAACCTCTATAAGCGCAATTCCAAAATCAATATCTTCACATTTGAAACGCTTTAATATAAAAAAAATATTTATTTTGAGAAAATTGAAAAGTTCAAATTTAGTTCCGAAGTATTGTAGAGATGCTTACAGGGGCGAGTACTTTGTGTACAAAATAGTAGACGTGCTAGCCCATTACAAATTGTGAACTCGTTCTGTTAGTAAACCCGATTTGGACTCAAGCCGCATTTTCAAACTTTTTTGCCTTTAATCATGCAGGGGACAATTGTACCCTTGTTACTCTTAATCATTTCATGTTTGCCCAATTTCCATGACCGAGTCAGAGCAAACAGTTTATAACATGGAAAGTTTTTAACCTGGGGTTAAACTACAAGATATATAATTTTTAGGCAACCGAACATTTGTGAAACCTAGTATCACAAGAAAGTTTTCCAAAGTAACCTATTTATTACAAAATTCACTCAAGTATTCTCTATCTTTCAGTTTGTTGCCCATCCAAATTGTCAGCAGTACCTTACTAGCATCTGGTACGGCTCGGAAACGGCTTTTCTTCAGTCATGGACTCTCATGCGTAAAATTGGACTATCGATTTTGGCAATGCCAATTCTTCCCCTAATCTGTGTGCTGTACGTTGTCCTGCCTTCGATCGAAGTACGTCATTTATCACTAAAATCAACATTTGAAACAGGATCAAATGCTCTTAGCGGTATCAGCACTTTTGGTGTACTTAAAAACCTGGAAACATGGCAAAGAGAATCAGTGGAAAGCAGCCCAAATTAGTTATTGCTAACCAGCCAATAATTGATTGACCGACCTAAAATTGTAGTGTGCTCTAGATCAATTTAAATTTTTAAAAAAATGTATTTCTAAAAAATCTTAGTACCAAACTTTGGATAAAAATGCACTTAAACCAGTAACTAGTTAGCTCTTTCCTGTTTAGCAGTAATGATTTTTGTATTCCCTGCATCTTTTGCCTTTTAATGGTAAAAGGCTTTACTGCAAAAGTTAGCTGCATGAGAACAAGTAAAGAAACATTGGCTTAGCACCATTTTTATACTTCGGTATCATATTTGCCAACCAATAAATTAATCCAATTTTTTTTACTTCAGGATTCTAGCAACCCCCGTCCAGGCAAAATTGGAACTGTAAGTCTAGCATGCTTTATTTTTAATTTTGCAAATAATTTATAAACAGGTTTAACTTTCTAACGCAGAGTCAGACACCCAGTGTTTTTCAAATCAGCTGCTGTAGAACAATGATAAAGAGCATGATCGTAAGACCCATATACTGTAATCACAGTAACTCGTTCGCAATTGGAGCTTCAGTTGTACAAATTAAACTAGGCAGTTTTTTTTATATCTCAGTAAGTAAGCCATCTGCTGGTAACAGCTTTGCATACTTTAATATTTTATAACATTTTTGATAGCAAGCCTTATATGAGGTCGTTGATAAATTTTCAATGCAAAAGCCTCGAAACATATTCCATTGTTCATTTACATTAAAACCGTTCCTGCATAAAACCACCCCCACATGTTGGCATGGTGCATCCAACTAAAACAATTGATTGATTAACAATTGATTGATTAAAAAAATAGATTGATTAATCGTTCAGTTATCAATAAAGGTGTGGATTTCGAAATCATCATCTAAAAACGCAAAGTATCTCTCAAATGCATTCCAAAAAAGACAATAACTCTTAGATTACAAATAAATCTTTTAAATACTACCAAATGGGAGGGTCCCGTCAGCTCGTTTTGGGGAAACTTATGAACAGAATCGAAATTTGTAGGCCAAAAAAGTTGATGCAGTAAGCAGGCTAGCAAAAATTTACTATTTGTCGCTGTCAGCCGTACAATCAAAAACGGTAAAAGACGGCAAAATTAACAGGACATGATCTGTCATTGTGCGTAGGTGTATTTAAAAAGTGACGAAACAGGAAAAAATAGCCATGTTTTGAGACCATGTTTTTTTTGGTACGTCATATTTGTTGGTTGTCTCCATACAAACCTGCTTAGACAAATGTCTATTGTTAAACCGTTGTTGTTATTGTGTTCGCATGCTGTTTATGTAAATATTGTTGTAATGACATTCAACGTTTGAGCTTAGCTTATTTATTTACATTCCAGAAAATTATTCCAGTGCCATTTGTCGTTAATTTTAATATATTCATTGAAGCGAGGGAACGAAGGGAACTTAGAATATGTTTCTATTGAAAACCAGTTTCTTAGAAACCATCTAAAAGGCATTTCGTCTCATGGTTAACGATAAAAAAGTCGCATATTGCTTAAGTGGTTTTGAAAAATGCTGCCTTTAAAACTTGATCAAAACGCCTGATTTCATTGGTTCTGCCCTTTCTGATCTCCCCTAAAGATAACTACGGCAGTCTGACAAGTATAAACCCGGACAAATCACAACCAAGATGGATATATTTTCTGAACCTGATACAATTAAACGCCCCGTAAATCTTTCTGAATCAGTGAGTGCAGCTTCAACTCGCAAAATGCAGTCAAAAATCGCTAATTGTCGGTTAAAACTAATCCTGATTTTACCAATACCTAAGATCGATAATATAGTTAAAATTTAAATGGATAAAGTTTTAAATAAATACCTTTTCTGGAAACAGTCTGGCTTACGAATAGCGCAAACCTAGACACACGAGGTCGCGACAATGGGTTTATTTGTCTGACTAAATGTGCTTATCTTGACTGATGAGACCAATCACAAATAAATCGTTGGTTTTCTGCTAAATCATGGAACCTGACTTCGAGGCTGAATCCGGAATTTCAAATTTGTGATTATTCAAAAAAAAATTAAATTCAGAACATGGCGCGTGAGAATTGCTACTTCAAAATGTTGTGCCTTTTCATACGACAGCCCAAGTATTTGAATTAATATGTGCTCAAAAACCACAATGTTTTGTTACCTAGGTGAGCTGGAAATCAATTATACTTTGAGTAAAGTATTAATCAAGGCAAACAAATTAACGCTTTACTATTAAGTACCATTTTGAATGCATAATTGGTATTTTGTAAATTAATTCTGATGCATCAGATGTTTTATTGGCACCAACATTTTGGGTCTGTTAATGGTTACGAAAATACTTTCAGCTAGTAAATCTTGCAACTGTTGACTGCCTTGATGATTCCACATCACGTATCTCAAAATGAACAACTCAAATTTGAAGCGTTGCTCACTTGAACATTATAGCACTGAAAAAATAATGTTTAATTATGGCTGCAAAATGAATTTTGCTCTTTTATTAAGCATCCAATTCTCATTTTTACGAATAAGAAAATAAATTCTATGCAATCATATCAGTTGGTTAATGGTACTATGAAGTATTGCGTAGTAACTGTAAATTTAGTAACAATGTACGTGTTCTTATTTCTGAAAAATTCTGGGCAATATAAGCTTCAAAGTTATCAACCACAAATACACTTGATCTCACAATTTTCTTTAGCTTAAGGTAACAAAATACGAAACAATTGTCTTTCCGTTGGTGTCGTCTGACAGAATGCAAAATTGGCTTATAGAGAGAATTTGGTGCCATTTTAAACGCATGCCGTTTTTCAATCCGCGTTTCATTTTTTATGCGGCAATCACTCAAAGCGCGATTTTCAGTCCGATTAAACTGTTTTAAAGTGGTGAGTTGTTTTAAACCTCACGCCACTTTTCTATGTATTTACCTTAGTCACTAACCATTGTCTATCTTCCACTAGCTCAATTTGAATGCATTTAAAGTGTTGTGTTTATTAATGTTCCAAAAGCACGTAGTGCTTCTGTCATGTCTGCTTAACTGGCACTTGAATTTTTTTAAATAAACTGTTAACCTATAACCACCACTGGTCAAGTTATAGTAGTTTTTCGACCATCCTGAAATCATGTTTTATTTGAGCCAGGATATCCGTTGTCCTGAAGCGGGAACACCTAGGTCAAAGAGTTTGTGAAATTAGAGGACACGTTAATAGGGTTAATTTTTTTAAAATTCTTTCTTTAATGTGCTTCAGTTTATGCCATACTATTTAATGAAGCAGTGTACTGAAAGTAATTCAAAAGAATATTGTATCACGGTGCTTCTTAAAATCGACTGTAACAGGATAAATTGTGTTTAGGCCAATGTTTATTGTACAAAATGTTTTAGAAGATTGCAACAGAAACGGTTTATCAATTCCTAGTTTACATAATTTTGCAACACAAGCAGCTTGAATTGGGTAAGAATGCTATAAAATAGCAACTAACCGGTGATCTTAGGGTAAACCTTTGCGCTTGGCAAATTGTGCATTTAATGTCCTAGGCTTGTTTCTATAATTTTCTGCTGATAGTGTCACGAAACCCAAGACCCACTTTAAAACCCGAGGTGCAATATTCTTACGCTTGGTTTGGTGTGTGGATTTTCTCTAGGTGTTTGGCAAATCGTCCTGTTACGAGAACAGTTCCAAAATTTGTTTATCTTTTAATTTTTAATTTCAAGTTACCTTTAGGACAATTCAATGGTAGGCGTTTCCACAGTGTGAAACAAACAGTAACCTAGTCCAGTCTGGTGATTGTGGGTGTGTGTGGTATTAATTAATAATAATTTCAGGGCGATCTAACTGTTAACAATACGAATTAATAAGCGATAAATCACCAGAATTTATTTAATGTGATTTTGTGTCGTTCATTATATCTACTCAATAAATATTTTACTTCACTGCCGTTAGACCCCTGATATTCAAAGCGTGCTCTTGTTATTTATTGCACATTAAGCAGTAGCATGCACTCGGTTTAAAAAAAACAGTCACGTTAGAGCAATTAACTAATAACAAAACATAATGCGTTTTTGGTCTAATAAAGTTGTCACAACCACTAAAGACGTCAGTTTATTTCGCCAAATCAGCCAGCTGGGTGTGCACAGTATTGCTTTTTTCTTCCCAAAACGAATTTTAACTATTACCTGTCATTTCTGCTTTTTCCATTTCTGATCTCTGGCCAATGTGTTTAGGGGAAGGCTCATGGCCACAATTGCTACTGCCTCGTTAATTAAGTAAAATTAAGTCAAAAAATTGTGTCTGAGCAAACAAAAAAAAAGTTATAACAAAAAATGTCATTTGGTTCCAAAGGCATGGTTAATCGAAGTCTACTATACACTTTTGAACCCAATTATACTAGAAAATTTAACCTGTGAAGTTATAAAATGCACTTAAAATTTGTTTTATCAATTATTTCCTTCTTGAAGTCCTTTTAAGACTAAGCAAGTACACATTATTTTAACTTATATGTTTCAACTTAGGTAAATGAGGCAAAATATAATACTTGATTCAATGTAGTATTACTCAAAAATTTATTAAAAGGACAGCAAAATACACTCAGATTAAACTATTTCTTTAAAAAAGCAAAAACTGAGGGGTATTAAACTGACAGCTGCCACGCCAACACCGTTTAGCCAAACGGGAGATAAACGATAAATAGCTGATTACGTAGGTTAATGGGGCATTTTTTAAATTGTAATGGCACAGCATTGGTTTTTTATAAAATGCTAATTTAAGGGAATGAGCAATCTTGCCAACATATTGCAGACCATTTTTCCTTGATTATCGGACTTTATTGCACTTAAAAGCAAGGTAAAAATGTGATTGACGACTGTTGCTTGACATTTGAATAATTTTTGACAAAGGTATTGTTTTTTTCTGGACGAATTTAATGGTTCTGCAGTCAAAACTACAGTTTCCACGTGGCTGGGTTAATCCTAACACATCCGAAAAAGCAACGTAATCGTAAATATTTTTATTTTGAAAACATGGAAAATTGGTCTTTTTAGAAATGGAGTAAAATCGGGTGACAATTAAAGTACCCCGTGACAGTGTGTCGTACTAAACTTTTGCTTCATCTTACTTTATCATACGAATTGGTCAAGAAAGCTTCATTTTGCCATCTCACACCCAACTCACTTACGTGGGAGTGATAGGAATAGACTAGTCAGCACAAATTCAAACCACTTTCTCAAAACTACAACATAAATAAACTCAAATTCACAAAGTGACTTATTATATGCGCAAACTAATTTCAACTGACTGCAGATCTACATTATTCTTTTCAATCTTTTGTACTGCAACGTATTTTAAAGAGTGCATTACAGCTCAAATCCTGATTCACATCACTATTTTGGGTTATAACCTTAAGGTCTTGGTGGGAAAAAAAGTCAAACGTCAAGTTGTTTTGATAATGGTAGTAATTTTTGAGTCTAGTTCCACCTAACTGCTGGTGCTAATGTTCAAAATGTAGCCGGAAACCTTTGGCTGAGTAAAGTATGACGTGCAGGAATTACTGAAACGTAAGTAAGGTTTTTGAAGGTTTAGAAGCTTGTCGACGTTAAATGACCAGCTACCTGCTATTACTTCCCATGGAAACTCGCTCAGTAGATTATAAATTTAACACATTTATAAGCAGACGACTCAGGCTGACTCTGCGTTATTAGTGCGTCAAATTAATGCACAAATGAGGAAAATGTAGTCGTCACTTTCCTACAAATCTAACTGATTGATTCTAATGTACATACCCAGAATTTCTTGAAAGTTGTTTGAATGCCACCATTACGTAATTCACACAAGCTTCGCTGGTATTATTGGTGAAGCAGTTAAAGAAGGGGATCAGTACCGTAGTGTACAGTGCGGAATGGTTATTTTAGGAGGTTTAACTGAATAGCACTAGTTTTAACTGTTGATTCTTTCAGCTGGCCCGAGCAATGCGATGCCCAGCATCGAAGTTTGCCACCCACTGCATTTCGCACTTCCTCTTCCTAATCCTGCTCTCAGCAGCCACATTTCGACTCGAGGAGAATTATGACAACCACGAGGCGCACAATGCCGATGAACTGTCTGTACGGTCATGGTTGGAGCAGAATTTTCGCCCCAACAAAGCCATTATTACTCATGTCCAGGTCTGCATCGTTTTGTGGATCGCAGGTAGGTTACGTAGGGGCTGTGATCATCTCTTCGTTGATTCTCCTAATTTATATGTCCTAAAAAATTAAAGAACGTTCTTGGTGCAGTTAAGGCTACTAAAGCTTGTTTGTAATTTTTTTCACCGAAGCAGTCTAGTTTTTGCTGCTATTAGATGAGACATTGTATTCATATAATTTCTGGCTCACGCTTTAATGTTTAAGGGCCTAAGAGTAATAATCGTAGGTAAAATTTATTTGAAACTAGCTAAATTATAGTAAAACAAGATCCAAAGACCCTAATCCACGTGTTTCAATTTGTAAGGACTGAATGTGCACTGTCCAAATGCTGTTTTTATTGCCTTGTGAATAGGTAGACTTAAAAACCTCATTTGTTCATGAATTTGTCACAACAAAAACGTTCAATTCTTAATGATGCAGCTCAAACAGCAACAAAGAAACCTGCTTGGTGAAAACACGCAACCACAGCGGCACCATTAAACTCTGCAAACCATAACTACCTACGGGAAATTATTTTAAAGGTGCTCATGCCAGCTGCATTTATCTGTTTTTACCAACTAACTTTTTGTTAAAATACTGGCTAACTCAAGAACTGTCTGATTTCGAAGCTACAAATCTCCCTTATAATCATTGAGACTCCAATACGAGTGTCAACGAGATCGTGCTTAGTTTTGTACCAAAGTTTATACCACTACGTGATATGGCATCACTGGTGTGTTTGCTTATGTTATGATAGCGAACAAACGCAAACTACAGAGCAATCTGATTACTTAACCGTGATGACAAAGCAAAACTTTTTTCTATAAGCTTGAATTGAATCTCAATGAAACTACTGCGTCATTGTAAAAAAAAGTATTGGAACATAATAAAACTCAAGAAACAAATGTTTCACAAAATAGTTTAATAGGAAATAGCCCGAAAATCCACAAACATCGACTAAAGTGCTGTCGGATGGTATATTACTTAAATAACCCATGCACCTGTAAAAACTTGAATGAATTCGAGCAAAAAACAACTGACATATGCCCATGTCAAGCTTGAAAGCAAATTGTTTATTCTAGATACTATCGTCAATTTGGTCATAAACACATTACCAAAAGCATGCAGATGTATAAAAGAAAATAAATAGTTTTTTTCTGTCTTGCTTTCAACCGGTTATTTAAAATTATTATTCAGGAAACTACAATGATGCACTTATTATGCTTCAACCAAATATCATTTATTACGCATATTCACTAGTCTAGGTTCAAGTTTTTATTGAGATAAGTAATGGCTTCTTAAATTACACATTGTAACAGCCATTTCCTGATTAGTGCATCACATCAAAGTAGTTTTGACTTTATCAAATATAAACGCGTGCATTTTTACGATCTGCGTAAGAAGATGACCCGATGAATGTTTTTACGTGGGTTCGCGAAGATCCGATTTGGCTAGGCGTCCCATGTTCCCCTTGTACCACCACCACCACATATCCCACCTCTTGCGACTGGCATTACGACGACCACACCGAAGCGCATCTGTAAAAAGCCGTAAAAATGCATGCCACACTGGTCAAAACACCATTAAAGTTAATTTTGTGTTTAGTCAAAGTTCATGATCTCACACAGGAGTTCATTAAATTGCAATAGTTACTGCCTAAATGCCTCCAACGCCGCGAGCAAATGGGGCGTGCAAAATCAGATGCAAATTTTTCCGACTCAAAAAACCACTAAATTTGCCCCGTCGTTTTTAAGCCTGAACTTCTCTCAACTCCCCAATAAGCCCTGGGCAGCTGCCAGGTTTTATGGATGAATAAAAAAAGTGAAGTTATCGTAAACGAAAAAAAACATTTTCTAAAGAGGCTCGCATTTCCGACCTGCCTATTTATACTTTCTTGTCAACAAATACAACACTTTACGTTTACGCTTCAATGTGGAAATGGTTGCATGCCTTCAGTCAATTTAGTGGTTTCTGATAGTTAGAATGACAAGTTATTTTCAAGGACTTTGCGATAACGTAACCCAACATTTCAAGATTGGTCAGTTAAGGAGTTCAGTATGACCAAGTATCCTGCATGCACTGGTCGATTCTGTTTGTTGAATGCCTGATTGACTGCTTATCCTAACCTTCGTCTGACGTTTTCTTAATGCGTAAGACTCCCTAACAGTAATTGTTTTGGATTTATTGCTTCTTCTCATTGTTTAAGTGATTCACTTGTCGTTTTTTCACATTATTTGCGCGTTCCTACCCGTGCACAGACATTTATGGGCTCGGCGCAACAGCATTTTTACTGGTTCCACTAGAAATTACGCCCAATCAAAGAGCATACACGCAGCATTAAATTTTAGTATTTAAGTTCCCTGCATACTGCACGTTTTCCCATATTTTCCTTTAATTAGGAACAGACCCTGGGGCACAATTTCGATAGTTTGCGTTAGTTTGAATTGCAAATTTTGCCAAGAATTGAGCAAACTTCCGGTCGGAGTGATTGACACTGCTTTCTTTAGTAACATACAAAAGTGATTTTTCCCTACTTCATTTTGTTCATAGGTCATTTTGTCGCCGAAATAAAGCACATCTTCTATTCGGGCTTCCAGAGCTACATGCTAAGTGCCTACAACATCATTATCTACTGCATCTTAGCACTGTACATTGCCAGCTACACCCTGCGGATAATGGTCTACGGGTGGGTGCGTGACTCGGATGTTTTCTTTAACGCAACAAATCGCATCGAGGAGTTGATAAGGCGAAACGAGAGCCGGCTGGTGAAACCCATGGTTGAGGGCTGGAAAACATCCTCACCGCAGACGTCAGCCAGCTACTTTATCGAAGCCTGTAAGTGTTGCCGATTGGCTAAATTGCTGAAAAGCAAATATATGTATTTAATGAGTGTGAATTCACTTAACTGACATTCCAGTGCCATTAAAGTACTAACAAGTGGTGTCCACCTACTTAACATATGAATTGGCACATCTGCCTGGTGTATTGTGTGGGGGCTGCCAAAACATCTGCGTATCATGCAGCATCGCGCACTACGACGAGGTTTGCATAGTTGAAATGTGGAAGATTTATTTGGCAGAATAGCCCAGAATGCGCATCGTAGTAGGACCAGTGGCTTGTGATAAGTGTCACGTTTGGCTGCACCAGATGCATTTGTCTGGCTTTCTGTACAGCTAAAATGGTGTTTCTGGACTGCAGCAACTTTTATACATCGTGGTTACTTTCAAAAGCAATAGACGCGGTTTAACCTTGGGATAATGGTTAATTTGACGGTATTTACATGTATCTCAATCTGTTGATTGTTAAATAAAGTAATAAGCCATTATAACTATTAATATGTTAAGTACAACAATGACGTTCATTAGAAAGCCAAGATTGGCTGAGAAGTTTGTTAACATTATTGCAGGCATAGTTTTTGTTTAGACTACCGATTTATTTTGCGCCGCATTAACTGGAATTCGTAGGAGTTTGGCCGGGACCAGAATGCACAATGCGCCGTATACAAAAATATCATCGTATTTATGATAATTGAATACCGACATTGTACCTTATTATGTGTTTGGTAAAGTCAATAAGCTGTATTAATGTTAGTCGTTAGCATTATTATTATTGCTGTTATTAAAAAATAGATTTCTCTGGCAGAACTTAATTTAAATTGGGCCAATTAAAACTTCAAGCTGCGCAATTTCTAATCAGGATTTATTGATTGGGCTAATTGAACAATTTACTCAAAGTAGTTGCACTGAGCTATTACTTCCTTTATTCAAATATTAGAAAAATTTCAAGTTGCCAAAATTTTGACAGTACTAACATTTTCCACTATGTGGTGAAAATACGACTCGTATGTACAACCCACTGAGCATGGGTGTGATCGTCTTTAGCTACTCTTAAATTTTTGAGGTGTTTCCTTGTCCAATCAAAATTTTCACCAAATATCCGAAGTCTCACTTTCCTAATGCATGATTCTTAGAACTGGAAAAAAATTATACACAAATTTGCTTTGCCAGTGTGAAAATTTGAAGAAAATTATCATTATTATACGTAGGTTGGCATAATGCTGTAACTATTCCCGTATCCTTATTATAGGTAATTTGCACATTGTGCGTGACTTTACATAGCGTGATACCATAACATTAATTTGAAAACCTGCTTGCAAGAAAACTTTTAAAAAATTCACGATTTTTTTGCAACTTCAAGCTGCATGTCATATTTTTATAGATTAAATGAAGTCATTGAAGCTTCTTGGTTTGTATTTACAAAAGAATAGAATGAGTAAAATCGAAGGTTACATTTTGCAAAATTGGATGCTAATGGAATAATATCAAATTTTAGTCTATTTCTCTCAAAATTTGTTAGGGCCTTGCGACTAAAGTGGTATTTAGTATACGTGGCATTGAAGTCAGTTATTGTAAAGTAAAACTAAGTTTGCTTGAAATGGTTATTGGGCTGGTTTTTCACGTTTAGGCTACTAATAGACTGGGTAATAAGAGTTTTCCAAAAGCGACTGATTCAATGCATTCCAAAAACACAAAAATGGTTGCCGCTTGACAGTTGATGGCATGGTTAGCTTCAGATTCCTGTTAGAGAACGCCTGTCAACTCTAAATTATGGCTTTTTGATTTAAGGTAAATGACGAGGTAGTAAATTTGACGTTGTAATTTAACGAAGAGTTGACTTTTTCCTACAAGATCAGAGTTTATACTGCTGCGTAAAATGTGACACTTATTTTGGAAGAATAACCTTGGATTTTTTCCTGGAAGCACATTTCAAATTAAGACTTCAGAATTGCTTTATTTGCGGAAAAGCAAATATATGGGGTCATTAACAACTTGATTTAAAATAACTGCCAGCTTCATTGTACAAATTTATTACAGTGTGATTTTAAAACAACTAATGACAAGTGTTAAGTAATTTAAACCAACAGGATTGTTGGTGCAAATAGCTTTATTTTAATAAAAAACTATTAAAGGTTTCGACAATCAATTTCAATTCGCAAGGAGGCTGGTCTAAGCGTATTGAGTAAAGTAAAATGCACTAGTTGATACAGTAAAGTATAAAAATTAATATTTGGCCTTCGCAAGCAAAAAAACTTGCAAGAGGAAATTTAATTATACATTTTCGTCTACCAATTATTTCGCACATGACATTTAAAATTGTGCGCAAAACATAAAAATTTAATTTTTTTGTGTTGCTACTTACGATGTAACTTCATGAAATATTTAAGATTTAAATAACTGACCCTAAATGTTGGAATGCAGTTTTGTCACGGTATGCTGAAATATCGCCACGCATTAGGCGCAAAGAAATTTGTAAATTAGAACTGGTAGTTTCCACAATCTAATACGATCTATAATTGCTTGTTTAAGCAAACCTTTACCATGATTTATTTGAAAATATCCCAGATTGTAGCATTAATAACAACCCCATGGAGTTCAGTATTTATAAATCCTGCAAAAATATATTCAAGGAATTTTTTTTAATGATGGACGTTGTTGATACAAAAGCTCGTGTTATATGCCAAAGCCATTATCTTTAATGCAATACCTGAGATGGACATGGATGCCTAGATTTAGCTCGTGAGAAGGAGTAACCTGTCACTTATGGGAAATTGGACCAATGAACACAGCTCACCGAATTTTAGAGCATGCTGCTCAGGAATTTGGATATGTAAGCAAAGCCATGCACCATGCTTGTGTGCAAATTTTCTACGCACATTTCTAGCATCCTATATTCATGACTTATTTAGTTTGAACGACGATGAATGATAAAACACGGAATACTTAGTCAAGTTTCATCAAACGAGCTTGAGTGAAGTGTATTTTGCGGGTTGAACGAATGTCATCGATTGTCGAATAGAGTTGACGTTCGATATTCACTCATGTGCTCTGGTATAAAAGACTTGGGTGGTCACATTTAAACAAAGCGTAATATTTGCTATCACCTGTCTTGTCCTTCTTCTCGAGCTCATACGGACTGTCGACTAGCACTTAAGAGAGGATTATCAAGTATTGTCTCCTTGTTTGACAAAAAAAGCTAAGACTCACAAGTGTGTTTTGACTTTGACAGCCCGGTTTCGGTGGAAGGCAGATGACCCAGAAATAGTCTCTGACGTCCTCTTCGCCATTGCGAACGTCTTCAGTTTCGCACGAACCACCTACCTGATGCCGGCATTTGAGGCCCTCGGTCCTCTACAAATATCCTTCACGCGCATGCTCACTGACATTGTCCGATTCATGGTGCTATACATACTGGTGAGGATTGAATTGATATATACATTTGTAGAAGACCTTTTACCACGGGAGTAACCCGGGAAGACAACAAGTCCAGAGATGGTAGGCACGACCGTTTACTAGGTAGTTCAACCAAGTTGTGTCCGTGTACTTTTACAGTTGAGTGGACATGTAAAAATGAACACAGGCGTTTGTGAGGTCACATGGCCAAAGCGGTTGGTGGTGGTTGTGGTACATTCAGAGGGATTAATGAACCAGCAGTCTCACGTGAAAAGGGGGGAAGTGTGCTGGAAGCTGCGAGGAAGGGTTATTGGACGTGAATCAACACGATTCTCTACACATTTATACATATGTGCAAGAAATCTGAATCGCATTTGGTGGTGAAGCTAAGAACGACACAACGCAGTCATTGGTTTTAGTAACGGAGGTGTTTGGGACTGTAATAATCCTATTTTCCACCCCGTTTAAATCTTCAAAAGTTTTAAAGACGAAGCAGATATACAGGGTAGCCCGAAACTGGTTCCCATTCACCAGACAAGAATTATTCGGAGGTATGTAGGTTTTAAGAGACCGTCTGAATACAGTTGTATTATTCAACTCATTATGCACCACACTAAAATATGTCATGCTCTAAGTCGTAAATGTGCGTCAAGGAAAATTCGATTTAATATTTATCAGATCGAATCAGAATATTTTCACGATACCTTAATGAGGATTATATCATCATTGTTGTAACATTGAAACAAAAATGTTCCCAAACAAGGCCTCTTATAATGCACATTAGACTAAAAAACTAATGCATTTCTTTTCGCTATATAACATTCAATTTGGAACCGTGCCCAAACAACATTTTGACTCAATATATCTAAATTTCCGTGATACCTATGTGCTGCAATTTAAATCGCGCACTTTGATTCACCAGAATAGTCTAAATATTCCATGAATTTAGGAAAATAAAATTCAATTTAGCAGAAAGAGCTTGGCAAAAAACAACTGCAATGTAGTTATTATGACGAAGTTATTATGTGCGCTAGGTTAGGACTTGAAATAATGTAACTTAATGAGTTTCTTTCGTGCTGGAATTATTAAAAGATTCCGTTTTGTGACAAACTAGTTCATGTTTACAATTTTACCAGGATTAATTGCAGATGCTTTGAATTGAAATAAATATTTTTTTTAATTATGTAGGTTGAAACAAAGACTTGTGCTCCCCCTTGGTGGTGACAACAGTCTACATTTCATCAGATTTTACAAAATAACATGTAGCATTTCATACGATACAGTGGTCAGCCATCTTTCGCACTGGTGGTCCTGTTTTAGCACACCTCAAAATGTGTGGTCACTTTAGAAACAGTCGTGCATTGCTAAAAAAAGATTTTTAACACATTTTTATACGTATAAAGCAAATTAGTTGCCTCCCATTTTAACCCAATTAAAGATTCACTTTGGTTTCCTTTTCTTTTTTAACCTAATTACAAAATAATTACGAGGAGTTAAAATTCAGGACCTTACTTCCACCACAACCTGTACCACGTGACTACCAAACCTGTCATAATCGTGATCTTTTGTTAGAAATATACCTGTGTTTTTAGACAAATGGTATTTTCGTTTAAAAATTACGAGCGAGTGTTTTAGTTTAGTTTTCCAGCCTAAGTGACTTTTAAGGTTTAATTTATTGTACTTATACAGTTTGGCAACTGGTACATAAAAATAACGACATTTATTTTGATAGAACATGCTGTGTTTGTGTAATTATACATTTCAAGAAATGTAATGTGAGATTAGATATTTATTAAACACATTCATTCCATGAATTAAAATGGTTTTTTTCCTTGACACGAGTGTCGAAGGGAAATTACTGAGTGAAACATTTGACTTGGTTCAAAATTCATCAGTTAAATGTCTAACCAAGATACATAATTAACTGGACTACCTTAACCTCAACATTTAACTGAGCAGAAATACCAAGGGGTACATAATAAATGCACTGGACTAATTGAATTATTTAAAGAATAATGTTCGGCTGCTTCCCTTTTTTGTTGGATAAGTTGCCTTCTCCTCAACTATGACTTATTGTCAAGTAAAATGTACACTATTAATAATCAGAAATATCCTGAGTTTTCTCTGACAGTAATCACTGAATATTTAAAAGGTGTCGCAATAAATGTTTGATAACTGGAGACTTTAAATCAGGCCTGAATAAACAAGTTAGTTTTATAAGCAAAGGTACAATAAAAAATATTGTATTTTTTGCCTTCAAATTAAATTAGTTCTCATAATTATTCTGTAAAGTTTCAAACACACTACTGGTGACGTTAAGATTTGTGTGTTAGCTAAAAAAATGCACAACTTGAGGGTAGACGTGCGCAGTATTTTAGCAGGCTGACTGTGCTGATGGCTTATTTACTAACGCTTTCTTGTTTTTAACATGAAAGCATTATCCTTAAACGCATTTAAAAATCCTCCTGTTTCAAAAGCCCAAAGCATACTGACTAACCATAGTCTATGCCCATTCAATCTATGTACCTGCTTGTGCGTTGGCTAGCCGTTTGGCAATTAGCACATCACACCAAGTAAGAAAGGCTGGGTGTGCGAGTAATGGCAGGTATTTTTCAATCAGGACTGCTTAGATGCATGGCAACGAAAGCACTTTACACCAGACCCTCAATCTTCTGGCCTAATGCAGATGTGAGCATTACCTGAGCTCTCATTTGCGTAGCAGTAATGCGTTATTGTTAGTGCATTACTACTGTGACACCAACAGGGCTGATTATGTCGAGAGAAGTTCCATCTGTTTAAAAATTACTAATCCTACCCCCCCTCCTCCTGTACCCATGACAAAATATCATCTGGGTGATTTTAGGTTATCTTTGCCTTCATGGTTGGCCTGCATAATCTTTACTGGTACTACGGCCTTCAGTTAATAAGTCCCCCTCCCAATACTACCGGGAGGCCCCAACCAGCGACTGAAGCTTTCGAGGGGTAAGGCATTTCAGTCTACTAAAAATGCATTCTTTTTTGTGGGGGATTCGCGGTGTGTACATAGGTGAGGTAACAGTTTAACGGTATCAGCAGTGTGTAACTGCGATTTTACGACTGACATAAGACTTACGTAGCTTTGCGTGGTGTGCACTTTTAAGTCCAGAGCTGACATAGGTGGTGATTAAACTGAGGAACGAAATAGAAGGTTCCGATGGTTTGAAAGAGTCCTGCATTAGGCGTTAATTATAAAGCAGGCGTTGCTTGCGATGAGTCCATCAATTACAATTTGGCGAGGTACACTCAAGGACTGCGGTTGGATTTAAGTGCGGCATTATAGTCTATTTCTTTGTGTTAATATTTGCTTTTTCCGTCACAGATTATTGCTTCATTTCTTTGCAGCCTAAGACACACATTGTATAGTCTCTTTTGGTCAATGTTCGGCCAAGTCAGCATTTCACGAGTGCCAATTCGAAGACCAGGTAAACTTCTTTAATTGTTCTTTTCTCAGGAGAACCAGTCGATTTGGCACCCCTTCAATTTTTAAATTCTCAGTTGCGGAAGGGCGTGGTGTCAGTTTTTTTTTAACCTAATGGAATTAATGATATGTGAAATAGGAAATGGCTTGAACTCTTTTTATAGCAAATGAAGTTCTGGCGTATTGCAACATCAGTAGTCACATTATAATAACGGCGATTTTTGTCCTTTCTCTTGTTATTTGCCAACCAAGTAAATTGACTTTAATGTTCTAAAGTAGCCTTTGTCAGTAAACACAAGCAAAATGCAAGTAATTTTGACCCAAGGCAAGTGTCAGCGACGTACTTTTAAAACTTATGGCTGAGATACTCTGACGCGACAACATATTTGAGCAAATAGGTGAACGAATTTACAAAATAATGATCATGTTTTGAGATGTACACCATGAAATGCCAGGTCATTCAGCTTTATAACAATCAAGCAAACTAAATTAAAAAACACGATTTTTGTGGTACAAAAACAAGTGCAAGCAAAAAAGGTTTGACTAGTTTCCTTTAAATATTAAAGTCTTTGCTTCGTATTTGTTAGTCAAAAATGTACTTCCTTAGGTAACTACTCGAATAAGTTTCGTGGGTTTTTTTTACAACCTCGAGCGCATAGAATCAGGTCAGCGGAATATTTTTGCAAATTAAATATTGTAATTTTTAAAAGCATTTGCCAAGTCCAGATATTAACACATAAAGGCATTAATGTGGCAACAATACATAGTCTTTAGCTCCTAGTTCTACTTCAATAAATAGACGAGTCAGACGTTTTCATATTCTAAAAAAAGAGCTAACTTTGACCACAAATTCCGGTGATCTTTATGCTCCAAATAATTGATGCAACAAGCGCCCTGGGTGTTGTGAATTCCACGCATAAACCGTCTGGTTTTGTCGGCACATAAATATCCACCAAACTTCTTGGCCTTTCAGTTATCTTTGAGACGATTTTAAAAATTAAATTATATTAATTTCCAGGATTTGCATATCAATTTTGTCAATTTAGTGCTAAACACTAAGTGAATTTGTCATGTCTATTTCCATTTCTTTATCAACGTAACTTGTAGAACGTCGTACTTTGATGTCACAACAGCTGATAACTTATCTAAATGTGGCATTTACTCTTCAAAAATTATACTGACCATTACGTAGTCTAAAATTTAAAGACTACACGTACTGTTTAAACATGCAAGACATCAAAAAACATAGTAATTTTTAGTTCAGCAGAAATTACTACAGAACTGTTGTGCGTTATGCCATAAAAACGGAGTTACTGCAAGTAAACTATCAAAAGGTTTGAGTCAAAAGGGACTAACTGGGTAGTACTGTAGTACTCATTGTCAGGGAATAACAAATTTTTTTATTGAAATGTTAAACTTAAGCCAACTACTAATTTTATAGAATTCTACATTTAAACGATTGGTAAATATTTTAAAAGACAAGCAAAATTAACTTGACTTTGAGAAATTATCGCGCTGTTTTCGAAGCCAATTTTACGGTTTTTAACCTCATCGTTCTCTAAAAATTCGAATTTATGCTTTAACCTGAAGATGCTAACCCTTAACACGCTCTGTAGAGTAGAAGTTCTACAATTTGGTCTCTGTCTAATTCTATGTCATGAAATTGGTTTACCCAACAATTAAGAAACGACTGACAATAACATTTCTCAATAATTAATTAGGTTGGCTTCATTTTGTTTACCAATGATTTCACGGAGTGTAATGCCTAAACGTTTCTGGTTTGGTGAATCCACTAAGTCACTCGGATTGCCATTAGCTGGTAGAAGCGAACCCACATCAGAAGCAAAGTAAAAGGGCACAAAAAGCGCATTCCAGACGAGTTACTGCCAAAAAGTAAAAATTGAAAATAGCTTCATGACCCACACTGTTTTTTTCATTCCCATCTGTGCACATTGTGCAGTCATTTCTAATTATTAGAAAAAAGTGAATATTTAGGATACCGTTATTGTTTCCCATAATTTTTGCTATCATGACCTCGCTATTTCAGCCGTAGGATATCAACGGTTAGGGGGCCGGGTTATCGACCATGTGTGTAACAGGTGTTGTCTGTAATCTGGGTTAAGCCGACGTTTATCGCTTCCAAGCGTTGTTATTGATCACGACTTAAACATTAATGCCCAGGCACTCAGAGTTAATGGATAACAATATCAAAATAAAAAATGATCATCCTAAATTACGCAGAGAGAACGGATGCAATTTCTAGTCCAGTTTTTTTGGTTGATATCGTGATTATTCAATCAAATCAATGTCTTAGTTTCCACAAACATTGGCACTGCTAATAAGGCTTGCTGAAGATACTGATAGGTACTATTGGAAACTTCTAAAAACACCCTTTCTACAAATTAACCAATCGGGGTGTAATCGTCTGAGTGATTTTACTCTATTAATGCCAGCACAATGATTAAATCAGCTGTTCCTAGTTTTTTTTCGAGAATACAAACTTCATTTTTTTAGAATTTGAAATCCTTCTGCAGACTTGTGAGAATTACCACTAATTCATCACAGCTCAGTTATATTTGGTCACTCTTGTTACGGCATGCAACAGTTGCATCAACAGCCGTTTTATACTGCTTCAACGTAGAGCCAATACTTGTGAAAATATTTAAATTTTAAGCTCCTAACTCTTATTACTTAATGCTTCAGACAACGCAGAACACAAGTACTCAGACGGAATGATTGATGTCGACGCCAACACCGTCGTGGTTGACAGTGTGGGCATGATTCTGTTCGCCGTGTACCATGGAATCATCATCATCGTTCTCGTCAACATGCTAATAGCAATGATGAGTCATTCGTTCGAGAGTATTCAGGTACGAATAACCCCTAATCAACGGTATTTTGGCAGAAAACATGAAGTATAGCCTTGTTGTAAATGCATTTGCAAGGAAAAATACATGATGGTATGCGAAGTACTTGACATGTTAACCGCAGTTCATATTTTGAGAGCTTTTCGGTCTACCATTATTAGTACAACTTAATAACTTAACAATATCCCCACGCGTTTGCGTAAACCTTGGTATTAAGATCCTTAGTTGTATATACGTGTCTAGGGGTTCCTAGTTTAAGGAATAAACATGACTTTTGCATATTTCAGCGAACAACATTTAAACGGTTAGTTGTGAATTCTTAAGGAAAGATTTAGTGACTGGTAAATCGTGTATACTAATGGAAGAAGAGGTCACTGCAATTCAAGGGGCTGGAAACCAAAATCGCCCCCAACTTTTGTTTTATTGCTAAATTAAATGCGTTGAAATTACAATTAAATATGGTTTTAAGCTAGGCTGTTTGTACAGTAGCACTTCTTACAGTCCTCGATTAAAACTAACAAGCTAAATGCATTAAACTGGTGGTTTAGTGTTCTTTTTTCTTAATAAGCCTGTCTAGTGCAAAACGTTTAAAAAACTAAAAACAATAGTTAGCGAAGTGGTGAAGCGCTTAGCCTAAAATCATTTTGGCGGCAAGGTCTATTTACTAAGGGCATAGTTTGACTTCGCCAACTGTCAAATCCTAAGAGTGGTTTGTTGAGAAAACCGTTTTTCCTATTTGCATCCGCAAGTGTTCAAACAACGTCACAGTCCCGGTCTCTTTGCTCTTTACTACTCAGGCGAATAAGCGTCCGATCCGTGAATTATCAAATATTAATGATAGGAGGGCTCACTTAGTTAATTTTTTTATAACTGTCGTGCATGAGTGCCCGTCTTTAGTTGGACTGTAGCAGAGGTTTTGCGAACTAGTGCTTGAATCATGAACTTTGGCGGAGTTAAATCAATTTTTAGTAATGGTTTCCATCAGTACTTAGTACTACAGCTTTAATTCTAGATGTTTTTTAGTCTCTAGATAGTATTCTGCTGTGAATGACAAAGTTATATCATTTTACAGGGCATAAATTAGTATTACGAGTCTATAGCTTACACCGTTTTATCAGTGTATCTAACTAATAAACTTACTACAATACTAAATTTTTCCAGCTTCTCATAACATTTTTCCTACAAATAAAAAGATAAGCATTAGGCATCTTCTCATTTTTACGTGCCTCAATTGTGTACCGTGCGCTGCTACTCTTGGAATTCAAACGATCTTGATTACTTGGCCGTCAATCTGATTAGATTTTACAAAAATATGTTTAAGCCGACTTACCCCAACCTTCTATTCATTCACAAGCCCGGGAAAATTGTTGACGCATAACGTGACGAAGAAATTAGAATGAAACCTCCGGTCTTAAAAAAGAACAATTGTTTCGATGCTACTTAGTAGTTACGAGAAATCAAACATCTTATTTGTTTTATACAAAAAAGCACTTATTTCTAATTGTACTCCTGCTTTAAATAATCATACTCAACACAAATATCACCATGCAGTTTACATAAGGCTTTTCGTCTGCTCTCAGTTAAACGTCACCTTGTTTGAAGGATGTCGAAGCCTATAGTTTCCTCGAGGCTCTCTTTTTTAACCGCCTCTGATTTTGCTTGAATGGATAGGAGGACTGCGATGTGGAGTGGAAATTCGCCCGCACCAAACTATGGCTAAATTACATCGACAACGGCTCAACGCTGCCCGCACCTTTCAACATTCTTCCAACTGCTCACAGTCTCGCTCGTGGTTTAGAGTCAATAAAAACTGTCTTCAGAAACGAAACCACTGTGGCTACAGGCTACGCCAGGAGTACGCATTTTATTAAGGTATTCATTATTTAAGGCCCCATTTTCAATGCCTAATGAAAACGACTAGCATTGACCAAGTGTCTAACAAAAGTGCTTAGGGATTCGGTTAAAGAAGTTTACTCCTTTGGGGCTTCGAACGGAAGAATTTGTGGCAAAGTGGACACCCCAAGTCGGACTGCAATCAATTTTTCATTTAGGATGAGTAAGGGGGTTCGCATCGCACCATCTAATACCACATTCATGCTAGCCCATGCTTGGCTGTGATTTTTTTTAATAAAATAACACCCCTGTAACATTTAAAACTCAAGGCTGCAGAGATGAATGGAGTGTGCCATAAGAGCCCATTTAGGCAAGTAACAAGGCACTTGCTAGCGTCTGATTCCTCAAACGCCAAGTTTCAGTATGTTTTGCTGACTAACTAATAGAAGGCCTTTTACTACAGAATCCTTGTGCTGAGTCCAGATGCCAATGAAAAGCATTGCTAAGTTGGCATTATTTAATGAAACTGTGGGAAAAATTGTGCCATTTAACTTGTACAATAAAGCCACTTGAGACAAGCTAATGTTAACCGCCTTGCGTATTTGCTTCTCATTTCTAGTCAGTACGCGTGCGTATGATTTTAAGGGGAAATCTAACTACCAAAACGCCACAAAACGTTTTTCACACAGAAAGAAATAAAAAAATTTTTGTAACAGCAAAAGTGTTTTGATGGGACAATTGCACACGAAAAACGGGTAGGATTAACACACAAGAAAGCTCATTCCACAACAATTGTCGCAGTGATTTGGTATGCTTCCTTGCTGCATCCCGAAATCGTGTTAATTAGTTCATTCCGTTTTGAATGCACAATCGGCTAAGAGATAGGAAATCACGCGTTTAGCAAGCCCATGTGAATGCAGATCTGGACTAGATAAATTCCTCACTTTTTCTGCCCAAGACTGAGACTGGAATTACGCGTTTTGGTGATCAAGACGACTTTTTGCCTCTCGGGGACACTGCAATTTAGACGGTTGGTTTTTCCCAACAAAAAACACTAGTCCTATTGCCTGCTTAAAGCGACTCGTTGTATTTACAGACGCAAAAGGAAAGAAACTTGGGTCAGAAAAATTAAGATCTAGAAATTGAAAGTGAGGATCTAGAAGCTATCTAAGAAATATGTTTCAGTTTAAAATGTGCCATCAATCGGTGCTATAAAATTTAAAGACTCCAAACTGTCCAAGGGCACACGGAAGGTTTTCTCACGACAGAACACGGGAATTCATGATGGTTTGGGAAGAAACGCAGTTGGTTTAATTGCAAAATTAACGATTCAATGAACTGCGTAGTGGTATCTTTCAAAGCGAACGACACCAGACTTTTTGCCAGCAAATTGTTGTTTAAGTCATTTACTAATTCACATCTACACATGTAGTTATTTGTGAGCTCATTAAGTGCGTATTCACCAATTTTTTTCAAGAATGCTATATAATCTGGACGTCGAAAATCGTAACAAATTTGAGCTTTATACTCTAACAAGCCAATTTATTAAACCCTTTGCATTTCGGCTTTGTTCAACTTAATCTGCAAAAGAAAATCAATAACTGTGTTATTCTTCATTGGTTTCATTTTGGACACAAAACATCTTTTAATATTACGTGTTTGTAAAAGCTTTGTGGAGCATTGAGCAGCTAAAATTTTAAAAAAATATTTAACTGCTACACTTAATTTGATCCCCATCTTTTGTGTAATGTTCAAAAATCGCCTTTCATTTATCAAGCAATCCTAGAAGTGGCATTTTAAAAATCTCACAACTCGCATTCTATTCTGATTACTCGGTCAACTTCATTCTTGACTGGTCTCTTAAGTCATTGCAAGTCTAAAACGCAAAAAAGTGATAAACTTTCAATTAAAATTTTGTTTTCTGTCTTACAATGTCCAGTTACCCGTCTAATAGTGCCGGTGTGTCTGATTGCATTAACTAGTTTATTATTAATGCACTCTCTGATGCTTATTGCCACAATTCTCGTTAAAGGCCAACCGTCTTATGAAAAATAGATTAACTTTTGACTAATGGCTGTATTAATGGGCACCTACACCCTCTAAATGCAAAATAAAACCACAGTCAGCCAACGAAGGCCATGAATCTAGGCAGCTGATTTAAGGCCCCTAATAGTACCAATGTTTAATTTAAAGGGCCTCACAATCAAAGTTGCCGACTGCAGATTAAGGCGTTGTCTTCACATTTATTAGACTTACTTATAAACTGAACAGTAAACGTGGGCCTCAAATTGTTTATTTTATGACTTTAAAACTTAAAAGACGACATTTTCTCAACTTTCCTTTACTTAGCTAAAAAATAACTTTGGTGTGAACGACAATTTGGTAATTTGAAACAAAAACAAACGATCCCTATGATGTTAACTTTCAGTGAATGCTGGGTCAAAAAGAGCTGTTTTCTGAGATTGCTCTAAAGAGCCTCAAATAGGTTAAATAATGAGCGAAATAAGTGGCAGCATGCACAACTAATGTGAATGTGACCACAGTACCAATCTGCTTACTAAACACTTTTTTTCCATGTCTTGTAGATAAAACGGGAAAATGTCTGCAAGACCAGGGACATTGAGGTCCACGAAACCTCCTATGCAGACATTATGCAGCGACTAGTGAGGCGGTACCTTTTTAAAAGGGAACGGGCAAAGGACGCGGAAGGTTAGCAAGAGCCAAAATGCTTAATTGCTAAAGTTATATTCGTTATGACACGTGGGAATTAAACAAACGAAGATGGGTCGATTTCAAAAACTTTTACTAGCCAATTAAGCCGGCTTAAATTGGTTCACATGAGAAATATTGGCGAAGTTAAAAGGGCTATTATCAAATTTCAATTTCCTCGAGGTTTGTTCCTTCTTAAGAATGAGCTTCATTGCATGTCAGACTTAAGACAACAAGGGAAAAAATAGCAGTGTGGTACACTTTTAATCAGTTAGCAATAAGAATGCAATAATTTTGTTTTTTTAGCATTAAAAAGCTAACCCAACGCAACTACTTACAGGTCAAACTGACCAATCTGATGAAAATCGATCATCTAAAACAAAACCATAGTGATCCAATTTCCCTACTTATTCCATCCATTTTGTGTCCCTAGTTTGTAGAGCGTCGCAATCGTAAAAGAAGCTGCACACACATTCTCCCTTCCCATTCAAACTCACGCAGTACTTTATTAACAATAACTCATTTTTATTGTTTGTGTAAACTAAGCCACGGTTCATCACCATTTTTTGTCAGCCTGACATCCATTTGTGATCACTAGAACACACACTCTGCGTAAAAGAAAACGCTTGTCAAAACGGTTGACATGGTTACTGCGAATGCCCTACAGCTGATTGATTGATTGATTAACATTAAGTCTTTGGGATTGGTATCAATAATCCATAATGGCTCTGTCAACCTATTATCTTTTGTTTTGTTGTAAATAACTTAATTTCTAGCTCAAATAATAGATCATCCCAGCAAGAAAGATCGCTGATTTTAGATTTAGTCAATGCCAGAGTAAAGCTAGAGTTTGTTATGTTTTTTGTCGTTCTTTGATGCTTAAGTAGAGACTTAAAGAGTAGTCGGCAAGCTACTTGGATGTGCAAATTGTAAAGGTTCGTAAATTTTAACCAGTAGTTGCAATCAAAACCCTAATCACTGCGATGAAAATACAACGTTATTTCATTAAATTGCTAAACACGATTAAGCAATTGAAAGGTTCGATGCGTATTTGTCTGTAAACTAAAAAGGCAGACTGTTTTAGAGAAACTAGTATCCTTTTTCCGTTATTTTACGTCATTTGAGCCTTTACCTTGTAAAATGAGTCCCCTAATCACAATGCCTTTTATTAATTTTTTCTGTTACGAAGGCGAGAAGCCAAAAGAAAGCACTTATTTACGAGCTGACGATATGAATGCCGCTGATCTTTTTGCAGGAGGTGATCGTGGAATGGAGTTCGCTGGTGAGTGGCTCTCATTATTTTAGACAACATAAATAGGTGTCTCTTTTATGTCTAGCTCAAAAGTTGTCCGAATTTGTTTGATAAAATGTCAAAATCTCAGAGACATCGCAAACAATGTATGCTTTTTTTACTACTTTTTCCATCTTACGGAAGAATTTATGTAACTACACTTACCAGAACATGTCATTTGCAATAAAATGACTTGCACATTTTGTCCGAATTTAAATGAATGCTAAATTTTGTGTAAACCAGCAGCCTCTACTACCAACACCTTAAGAGTCGCGAGCTGAGTAAAACTTTTGATTTCAGTTAACTGCACTCATTTGCTCAAGACATTTAAACCAGGCTTTCCAATATAGATGCTGAAGACGATGTACCACCGATAGGCATTCCTCAGTCGCGAAGCACCCCGGCTGGAAATCTCAGTGACAGTCTCACCCCCAGCGCGGTGGGAGGTGGCCCGATTCGGCGAAATCGACGCAGTGGTGTAAAACGTTGCTCATTTGTTGGTGGAACGGGAATCCCCCTTGGTTTTTTATCACCCTTTAATTTGCAGCTGCCTCAACTCGATGGCATTCAACGCTCACAAAAAGTTCTCGACATGCGGCTTCAGAACCTTCAGGTAATGCAAAATGCTGTACCGACCCAAGTGATATGTTGAGTATTCTGTTGTTGTTGCTACCATTTTAAAATTTTGGCAGCATTTTGTATACCGTTTGTGTTTACAAAACTGGACAACCTTCTCACCAGTAACCCTAGGTTACTGAATTTTTCAAACATAAACCATTAAACCATTCAAAGCTACTCCATTTCGTTTACAAAGTTCGGTTTTTTAGTAGTAACGGAACGAAAAAGTTCATAGCAGCTCCGACTCTTCACGTTGCATCATCAGGTAATGAATTAAAAGGAGAGTGATGAGAGGTAAAACTAAAATTAAGTTTTGAGTTGGCCAATTACATTTAAGGGAACACATCTTAGCATTGCAACTACAAATATTGTTAAATCTCTCCCCTTCGTAGTAAAGCGTTAATGGTAGGTGGTCTGTGGTCTTGAGAACTAAAGTGGTTTCGTGTATATAAATATCACTGGAAGCATCTAATTTATAATTTATAACGGGCCGATAATTGATTTAATTAAATTCTTGAATTTTTTTGAATCACAAGAAAACCCGTTAAATGTCTGTGCACTTCGCTGCCAAATGCTAAACAACGCAATTACAGTCTTGTGTGTATTACGCGTTCTAATTGTTCCCGTGTATGCGTTCTAAATATAACTGTTTAATTAATTGATCTTAAAATGCAAATATTAGGTTATCGAATGCACCCCAAACTGAGTATTCGGTGAACTACTAGTCCATGACTTTAAAAAATGCATGTCTTCTTTCTGGATTTTGTTAGCCACTTAAATTAGTGCTTGACAAATTACTTTGAGGACTGCAAAATGCTTCCATAAAAGGTGCACTCAATATTAATTTTAATCCATTTTAACCACTTAATGAGTGAATGGGGTTTAGGTAGTTGTCGTGTTAGTTGCGGAACTGAAATCAGCTTCTTGATAAAGGCGCTTGAAGTGATGAAATTTAGCGACGGCCTGACTTTTAGTGTTGCAGTCTCAAACTTACTTATGTCTCTTATGGCAATTGGGTGTAATGTGTTTTTTCACTGATGGCATTTTAGTCTTTCACTTAGTGTCTTTTTTAAGGTGTTCGAGCACAATCGTGCCACGTTTAAATTATAACAATCATTCAGCTGCCACCTTTGACATCATGGAAAAGGAGGAAACGAGATACATCAAGAAAAGTTGGAGTCATTTGCACAAACAAAATTACTTCGTGTGTACTTTTTATACTTGATTTTCTCTTAAAAATCTGCAAACGAAGGTTCTAATTCCTATATAAGCGTTTCAAGTACCCTTTTTATTGATTATTGATTTGTATTTGCTTGAATTATGCTTGATTATAAAGCGACACGAAATCCGTCTGGCAATGTCCAAAGATTAACTTGAAATGCTATCATTTTCTTCGGGCGAACATCGAGAACTAGTTGTGAAAATGATCTAGAATAATCGTTTGCCTTAATAGGGGGGAGTGTTGAGGATCCGCGCGGCTGGCAACATGCTGCGAAAAGAGGGACCCTGTGCCGAAGGCTAAAGTGACCGGATTAAGGAGTGTGAATCAACGCGATTCACAACACGTAGAAAAGGGTTTTTAAAGGAGATGTAGTGACTAGAGGATTTAGCACTACCTTACAACCCTTTAGTTAACAGCCCGTAGTTACCCGAGGATAGGAAAAAGGAGGCGACAGAGAACACGACCGTTTATTAGAGTCGAACCAGCCAAGTGGCTTTGTGTGTGTATGAACACGCGTGCGTAACAGACGAATGCTGACAAAAATCAATAACAAAAGGGGATGAGTCATCGCTACACACGGGCCTTCATGCACGCACACTCGCGCGGGGCGGCTGTCAGTCCACTACAGATATTAATTATGATTTAATCTTTTCAAATCACTTGAACTATTTGTGCAGCTAATGAAGACCATGGTGAACATGAACGAGAAAGTACACCAAGTGATGAACATGAGTGAAAATGCAAACATGATAGCACTGGAAGTTGTTTACTTCACAACAACGGCCGAGCCCAATTAACGAATCAAATCTGTTTGCCTGAATTAGGTTCTGGCCCTGACGTCAACCCCTCCGAATTGTTGCATGACCAGTTTTCGCGACGTCACACAGTTAGATAACATCTCGCGTGGGCAGGACAAGGGGATGGAGACAGAGGGATTATGTAATGCAAATCTGGAGGCGGGAGAAGTGCGAAAAAGCGATATTAAGAGTAGTTTTTTTTATTCAAGTTTGCATTTGTGAAATCGAAAAAAAATTAACGTTATTTCTTTGAATCTGTCGCCTACATTCCGTCCTAGTATCAAATACAACGGGTAACTCAAAAACCTGTTAATTTAGGGATCGGATAAATCTGAAACCGCTGGGTGTTAAGCCACGCTGGGACAACTAGATTGACTTGTCTCATTCGCACTATGTGGATGCGCGCGATAATTAAAATGACCGGGCCTACCGTTAAGTGGACAGCTCAACGCTGTTTTTTTTTGTTTACGCGGTGTCACCTTGTCAATGTTGACGGATATCAACGATGAGGTCTGGCGACCAATAGAATTCGGGTGTACAAGTGACTGATAAGTGGTATGGGTCATAGGGGAGGTGTGTGCCAGGGGGAAGGCTTGGTCAGACGTGATGGGAATGACGTGAGAAGGGAGTGGAGTGTCTGAGTTTGCGGCGGTAGGCTTAATGGATATGATTCACCAAGATTCACAAAACTGCATAAAATATTTAAGGGCATCCAAAACATTCATTATGCCAAAAGTACTGCAAATTCTGGAAAAAGAGTAAAGAGTGCGTTGTTTATTTGGGCTATTCTAATTGCATTCCTCAGTACTTGCTTTCTTAAACTGATCGCCTGTTCTTGTCCCCTTTCTGATCAGAGTCAATCTGAACAACTAAACAGCGCTGCAGGTAACGCGAGGATTAAGGAGGAAGTCATTCACGTTCGAACACTCATAACTGAAAGTCATAAGGCCCTCTCCTCCATCATAAAAGCTGTTTCGCAACTACAGGACCAGGTATGCATCAAAAACTACGCGGGTCTTTTGAAAATTAAAAGAACTCGTCTTAAATATAGCCTTTTCTGCTTCCTCCAGGTAGTCATACTTAACGAGAACATGGAACAATGGATTAAAGCTCAAATCGGTGAACCGAACAAACGAACCATTCTGCTCGAGGAGCGGCGTTCAGCAGGAACGTCGAAACTGCGGGAACGCCACAGATCTCGTCGAATCGCACACCGTTCCTCAAGTGACAGAGATAACAGCCTGAACCCTTATGTCTGATGTCTATAATGCAAATCTGCGCCTTATGTTTTTTTTATGAGTGAGAAAACCACTGAACCACCCAACTGTTTCCACGAATTTCGCGTTCCACGTATTGTAGCCCTCGGGATAGCTGTATGGATGTTTACATCTCGCCTTTCTATGTACTACAAATACTACTTTTAAGCATCCTATTCATGCCTTGGTGTCTAATGTTTTTCCACCTTAATCCGCTGTTGCCACAGGTGGCAAGTTAGCGGACATATGTAGTAAACTTTATCGTAAGCCTTATTATTCATTTCAAATTAAAATTGGGAACTCGACTAGACATTTTTTCCACACGAGAATGACATTTATATCACCTTTCCGATTTGTTCTAGCAGGCACATTCTAAATCTAGAGTTAAGGACATTGCTTGCTGACATACAATTTTATGCATTTCATCGAACTTCAGTTAACAAGATCAATTAAGAGCAACACAAAGGTGTCTAATTTCTATTCACTAGAAGAAAATTTACTTGCTTTGCAAAACCCCTTGCAACGTCAAAAAACGTCTTGAACCACGAAAAACGTTTTTACGTAAATTCCTGTGAGTAAAAATTGCAGTTGGTAAAATAACCATTTAGAAAAGTCTTCCAGATTAGGCTTTAAGTTAACACACAACCCAAACGCACGTTTCTCTTCTAGCCTTTATAATCGTTCTGTAAATATTTGTTGAAACTTTTGATTGTGTGTCGTCGTTGGCGTTGTTTGTGTGCTCAAGATTTCTTGGCGAATTTCTGATTTGGATGAATGACTTTGAATAGCGATCCTTGGTTATAGCTCTGCCAAGTAAGCCACATCGGTGTCTTGGAGGTAAATCAAATGGCACATGTTACACGAGTTTCTAGAGTATCTTCAGAGTATTTGTGCAAGAAGTCATTATATTGTTTCCATTTAAATGAAATCCCTTCATTATGCTTCAGTGAATTTTCTAAAACCCACTGCACTACATAGAGTTTAGTAACCTTCCATTTAGGCTGTTATTTATGATTGTGTAAGTGTGTATGCATGCATGCAATTTATTGATGACCCTGGCGTGATTGATTCGTTAGGGTAACAATTCGATGCATGTTCTTAAGGTCGAGAAGAAGATCAAAGTAGTTTAGAAAATCAGCGCCTGTGATTGGGTGAGTCACCGCCGCGTTAATGAGGACCCAACGAAATTGGCGTTGTGGTCCCATATCGAGCGTGAGAGATTTCTGCCCGTAGGTGGGGATGAGGGAACTATTGGTGGCTGAGAAGACAGAAAAAGGGTTTAGGGACAATTTTTTAGAGTGCGACGGAGGGACAACGGATATGTCGGCTCCTGAGTCGATCAACAATCGCAGCCAAGTGGGACAGCCTGCTCATTCACCCCTGCGTACGTAGTACCACCGCCCACTTTATCCATGTAACCACTCAGACGTCTATGTTTTACCAGTCCACTCAACTGTGTCAGTCAGCAAAGAACAATTTAGCTGAGCTGGGTGCACCTCGTCCTCACCTGTCTCCTTCATCTTCGTGTGTAATCAGGGCAGCGTAATCGGGGTAGTTCGACGAAGTAACCCCAATGTGGTGGGACTCACAACATTAGCGATATATACATTTGATGCCGTGTACCTGGATCGGAACCATCAGTAGGGAAAACAGCAAGGTCTTTTTACCTTACAGAGCAGAAATAATTGTATTTTGTCTGTATTTTTTTTATTCTTTAATCTCTGAAGCCAAATAAGAAACGATTGCTTTTCTAGAGTTCCTTCAGAATACTTGTGCAAAGTATCATTGTGTTGTCGCCATTTAAATGACATCCCTTCGTTATGCTTCAGTGGAGTTTGGTAACCTTACAGTTAAGCTGCTAATTAACTTATGATTATGTAAGTCATAATGTGAGGGAAAAAACTTTCGGCAGGCAGAGCCTGAGAAATAAGCACACCTAACTCAAACCCTTCCTCTAGCCTTTTGAGCTTACCAAGCTACTGTCAAACTTTGTCGCCGGAAACATTGATCACTTTGAACGATGTCCAAGATGAATTCTTGTTTTCTTTAGAGGCACAAAAAAGCATTATAAAACGGAAACACGCTCTTTTTCTTCTCTTCTAAGGTGCTATGGAAACGAACATATTTATTAATTGACATTGTGGACGCGTTCATTGTAGAAAGAAGAGACTATTTTTGAAACATTCAAACTAAAATTAGTCGCTCTTTCACCTAGAGTTTGCGCAAGATTAAGGACGACTTTAACTGGAAAATTTCAGTATTTTGGAGACCCAAAACGTTGCATTCTTTTGAGTGCTGGTTTTTAAGGCAGCAAACTAACAAAAACGGTTCTGGAAATTGAAATCTGAATTGTAACAAACATGGTAATGGGTCTCAAATAGATTGCTTTCATAGTGAAGGCTTCTTTGTGCCATCAGTGAACTCTAATACGGGAGAAAAATTGTAACCAAAGAAACATTTCGTTGAAAAAAATAACATATTTTCATGCTGAGAGATTGCAGTTTAACTCATGCCAAATTACAGAGGCCATGTTTAATCAACTTCGTGGTGGTGTTATCTCCGAAACAACTTGAAAGGCAAGGTAACAAGGAAGCACTGCTTTGACGAACACAGAACACGGTTTTTAATGAGATAACTGCGTGATCATTTTGCGTTTCACACCTGTGAAATTAATGCCAATCAAATACACTGCGTAGCGAATGTTCTTCAACAGTGTAGGTCATGGTGACAGTAGAGAAAGAACCAAAAGCTACAAGGACATAGCAAATTAATTCATTAAAGTTTTGATGGCACAACCAACTTGTAAAGTCAAATATATTTCACCACTTGGACTACATAATCATTAATCTGAAAGCATTTCTAAAAAGCACCGGAAATTGTTTCATCATTCACTAAAACGGATTTTAGATCCCAGATAAATTTCTTACGCACTTTCCAAAACGGTTTCTTAAAAGTAGTCATTGAGCTAGCAAATTAAATAACTTGAATTAACGAAGTTATTGACGTTGTGGTAGCTCATCATGGTTGCCAAATTTGAAATTAAACATCTTTAAACCGGGCTTTTTCAAGTTTTCTCTCAAGAAGTGTTTTGCGGTCATTTTAAATGGCCCAAAATAATAAGTAGTTGCTTCTTCACCATTGCGCAGTGCAACATACATGAACATCCTTGTTATACAGAGGATCAATTAAAAGAGGCTATCCAAGCTGTAATAGTTTATTTCGCTTCGTTCCGAGTCAAACCATATCGCATACAGTCATTCACTGGTAAAAATATTTAAAATAGCAAAAAACGGCCTCCAAGCTAAGTCCATTCTTGGACAGAACTTTTGCCAAGTATACCAGCAGTGGTGGCTCGAGATCGGTATTTTTATCCTCTGTCCTTATCTTTTAATAACGCGTTTATTGATAAGGTATTACATATAAACTTCTATGAAAAGTACGTGCCCAACTTTTCAAGTATTTATTATGTTCTTCTATAAACTTTTTACCTTAAAATTAATTGAGTTAATAACGGCAATCCATTTACGGGATCGCCAGTGTCCGTTTTAGGCAAATGATTGTGTCATTCAAAGTGAGTGAAGTGATTTAACTAGAACCTAGGGCACAATTCTCAATTCACATGGTCGATACTGTGGTGATTCGTGTTGATTAAAGAACAGTAAACCGGTAGTCCCTTTTTCACGGTGTTCCTGTTTGTCAGGCTGACTCGCCTGCTCATTCATCCCTCTGCATGTGCTGCAACCTTCCGCTTTACCCATGTAACCACTCAGACGCTATTTTTTACCAGTCCACTAAACTGTATCAGTCAGCAAAGAACAACTTGGTTAAGCTGGCTGCACCTCGTTCTCTCCTATCTTCTTCATATTCCGGGGCCCACAACATTGCCGATATACACATTTGATGACGTGTAACTGGATTGAAACCATCAGCAGGAAGAACAGCCAAGTCCTTTTACCTTACAGAGTAGAAATAATTATATTTTGTCTGCAGCTTATAATTCTTTAATCGCTGAAGCCAAATAAGAAACAATAGGAAGCTTTAACATAGCATGCTCGCATACCATAAAAGAAGGTAACCTTTAAGGTGGTAAATAAATCTTAACCATATAATAAAGCCAGCAGATAACAGGTATTATTTGGGTCTTTTATCTAATCATCGTAAATTGACTGAAGGCTAATTTTAGTCAGAACAAAAATCTATCATATTATCATATATACATACACCACACATAATTTGTTTGAACAGATTTCAATTTATCGACGACATCACATTATGTTAAATCAAAGTTGAACTCTCCAAAATTTACTTAGTGGCTATTTTCGTCGCTGTGAGACTGTTTTGCGGCGTATCTTTTTGGTTCTTGTCTATTAAATATATGGCTCATGTTAAATGCACTTTTCAACATTCTTATCTAGTCAGTCACTCCTGTTCACATTCCCTGCTCTCGTTTAATGTTCATTGTTGGCATAACATGCTGTTTGCGCTCCTCTTAGTAACTTATAACTGTAACAGGACAGAAGTGGACGAGTAATCTTTCGATAAGGTATTAAAACATCGCATTACCATGCACTTAGAGTAAGTCGAAATTACATAGCTTTAGAAAACTAATACAGTTAGTACACCTAATCTTAACATGATCAAAGCGGGCATCTTTAGATCCACCATTTTCACAATCATTAGTCACAAAGGTAATCAAGTGGAATGTTAGCTTTGATTCAATTTCAGATCTCCTATTTTGAATTGTTACATAATTTACGTTTCACAGACCTATTTATCAGTTCTTGAACTGCATACTGCTGGCACTACCAAAAATAATTTTGGCTAGTTAACAAGTTTGAAGTAAGCAAACTAAATGAAAAAGAACATGAAGAGTAGTACAGTTTACTGTCTAAATTAATATGGATGTGCGACCAATCATATGATCCCGCATCATGTAATTAAGGTTGGTTTAGTCGTCTCTAAGAAATTAAACTTTCGCTAATATAGTATAAATTTATATGTTTGGACATCACTGTTCTATGCATGATAGAGTTGTGCACAGGCATTTTACCATGATTCGATATGATTCTTTTCTGTGACCAGTAAATTATCGATTTAAGCCAAATTAGGCAGTGTTTTTACACAGATGTAATAATAGTACTCAAGAGATGGTAAGAAGCATGGATAAGTATAAACTACGTCCTCTCGTTATGACTTAAAATGTTGCTGTGCAGTTGGAAATTGCAAACGAAATGGGCATAACGCTAACGAACTCATTAAACTAAGCATTCAACGTAACTCTGTAATCTGGCATGAAAACGGTGGAAGAAGTACTGATGGTGGTGTATTAAATATGTTTCCTATTAGCTTTGACAAATGTTTTTCAAAAATTCCTCTAAACGCTTATAATGCATATAATGTCAAAAACACTATGGAGGGTGCTTCATTGTTTTCGAAAATAAATTTGGGGAAAGCACGTTACTGTAATTTTGGGTGAATTGTCAATTTAAATGCAGAATTTTTGCACTGACTAAAAAAGCGGAAATTGATTTGAAAGGCTCAGTGCAGAAAGTTTTGTGCTTTTTGTTAACATTGAAAAATTAGCAAGTGTGGTACATGAAAACGTAATCACAAGCTGTCCTCACCAATATCAAGAGAAAAATTTAAATATAGTGTAAGCAATATATACAAATGTAGATAGTGATAAGAACTATCCAGCACCACGCATAAAGTAACAAAATTTTTCATCACTAATTATATTATTACCCTAAGTTGATCAGGCAACCCACGCGATGATTATCATCCTTCACATAAAGTTACCTATAAGTGGATTTTTTTCACAAAACCTATAAAATATTTCCGTTCACTTCCTATTACACAATACTTGCACCTACATTCAAACACTCCATTTAGAGTGGTCACATTATCCTGTTAGTTATATGGTACTTTAAAGAAGTAGCACGTTATATATTTAGACTACGCTTATCACAAAGTTTCTGTCATTTGTCTTACAAAATCTTTTTACGTTTTTAGTAAAGATATAAATAAATCATGATTGCAAGAAAATTAATAATTTGGCTAAGATGTATTTGAAAACGCTTGCTAGAACCAAATTTCGACGCTCAATAACATGTTTAATATTTTCAGGCAAAAGAATATTTGTTGTTCGGAAATGCCTTTTCTGATTAGGTTGTCTGCTCCATAGTTGGATAAAATGTGCTTGTTTAAGTTAATTTGTTCAAAGTGCGCCTTACATAATTTATTTTGGCAAGATGTTTCGTAATGCTCGATTTGATAAGTTACTGGGTATGTTTTTCTATTTAATTAAATCCGTTGGTAGCAAAGTCAACGAGTGAGTTGTTGATGGAAGCGGACTTGGAAAGCAACCTTTCGATTTGTGATTTAGTACGTTCGCAAGAAGTAACGTATGTTTGCATTTAATCTATTTGTCAATATTTAGTCCAAAATATGCTATAACCACTCTCAAAAAAAAACTAAACCAGGACAATCCTCATGTGTTAATGTTAGGCCTTTCAGTACGCACTTCAATTACTCTAACTGTACCTTTAGCTGCTCGAAGCTCTAATGAAAAATTGCGGCACGCCTATACATGATGAAGTTCTCGGAACCGAATTCGTAATGGATCTCTTGGAATACACGCATGTAATTCAATGTGAATCGTATAACTTTAAGTAGATAAACGAAGAGGTTCGCACATGCATTTTTGGTTTTATCCAAAACTGGGAATTCGCCTTCAAGAAGAATGTGGGTTATCATTACCTTCACGAAGCATACAACGAAATTAAACGATCTGGACATCCTCTGCCACCGTTTCACGAAAGTGAGGCGATGTACTCTGCGGAAGTTGCGCCTGACTGGAAAGATGGGGATGAATGTTTTCGCTGTAAAAGTTTGTTCACAACATTCCGCCGAAAGGTAAGCTTCGAGTATTCCAAGTCAGCTTGGTATGTTCCTGTATATGGCCTGTATAGCTTGAATGTGTGGTACACAGAAGTGTTTCGTAATTTGATTATAGAACACGTTGCACCTATCGTGTGAATGGGGTTAGAGCTTTTTTAGTACTTGTAAGGCTCGTAGTACTTATTTGTAATCAACAACGAGAGTATTTAGGATGTTAATGTAGTAATTATTTTCGCCTTCGGGTGTAGGCAAAAAGTATCATGTGAAGTATTTCAGACGATTTCTAAATGAATTCACTTTAGCTTAGTTACACAAATGCACTTTCCCTAATATTGATTTAAAAAAATAGAATTCAGGATAAGCACTACTACAGTGTGTCTGTATGGATGTTTATGCAAATCGTTGGCTGAAGCTCATGTAAGGCAAAAATTTTGCTGCCAGCCTTTTAAAGATGTGCCACATCTGAACGCACCCGTTACCAACTTTAAAAATGGATCAAAGCCGTGGGCGCATCGAATAGTAGTATGCAATTTAGTTGAATTATAGTCGGATTTTCCAGCCTTCTGCACCTTAACTTTGGCGCACTTTTATGCTCAATATTACTTATTCGGGTGTTAAAAGCTATTCCGTAATAAGCGGTAAATTATCGAATGCCTTCATTAATCTAGTGGTTTCCGATTCAGAATCTAAAATTTCCAGTATTCGATACTTCAGCCGAACAGGTGTTGTCTGTTGTTGGTTGCAATATAGGGACTTTAGATGTGGGTTTCCCTATCCTTAAACTTGGTCACCCCTCCAGTATTTCCCTTTTAACAGATTTACTTTTTAACCCAATACCGCATTTAGCACCACTGCCGAAATTGCGGAAATGTTTTCTGTGGAGAATGCACAACTGGCCGCGCCGTTATTCCTAAATTTGGCATTGAAAAGGACGTGCGAGTCTGCGATGTTTGTCTATATAAGCTTACGAAGTAAGTAGTTTTCATCACTGTGGCATTGAAACTTTTGTTTTCTGATGGCTGGTATGATGCTTCTTTTTACATACTGGCTGTGCCACCTACTACATATATTTGTGTTTTGTTGTGGTCTGGTAGCAATATCAGACTGTTGTAATCATTTTAATGCCTGTTACGTTGAGCTTGAAAGACCTTTTATTCGTAATTGGTAATGTTGTCGGACAGAGTGCATACAACTTGTCATTCGAGATTTTGTAAGTCATCATCGGTTAGCAATAGTGTAAATTCACTTGTCTCCAAAGCATTCAGCTCATTATTTGTCGCATCCCTCATAATCGCTGCCTGTTTTTTTTTCATTTCTGTTTCACTTTTGATCATAATGTTTACGAGGTAACTAATCCGAGTCACAATGCCATTTCTAACATATTATTCGAACTAGGTCGGACTTCTCACATACTTTTTTTCTAATTAATTATGTATTTTCCAACTTGAATATATATTCCCCCGCAGTTATGCCCTGTTGCTGTCCTTTTGAAAAAATTATCCTTGTGCATAATGATTAATCAGATATTTGACTTTCGATTAATTTCCCCTATATTATGGATTTATAACTGCCAGTAGAGGTTAAATTTAACCTTCGGTTAAGAACGATCCAAAATTCTGACCGATGTATGTAACAAATGGGGGAAATACTTTTTTTGTAATTATTATGTTCATTTTAATTTCACCAAGTCGGACTCCTTAATCTAAACGAAAATGGTTTTACATACCGTGGAGTCAAATTCAATCCAAAATTACACGAAAACTGCCAGAAAGTTGGAGATTTGTACTGGAGCACCTCTTAATCTGACCTGAGTTTGTGTAAGCCCGTGGTTTAGGCTCAGAAACTGTCACAAACTTCTCGCCAGTGCGCGTTTATAAACTGGCGTAAGTTGCATTTCATTGGGCGCCCCGAGAGCTACTGGGTGCCACCCGCTTGCCCAATAGTCTCACTTGTAGAATAACAGTGGTTACCGTTAGCAACCAATACTACCTACCTGAGTGGTTTCACCTAACTGCACATAATTGCATCATTTTTTGATAATGTTCTCTTCATGGCACTTGTACGTCTCCTCACCATTTTAAATTATAACTTATGTCGTTTTAGACATCACGCCGCCGGCAGCAGCAGCAGGGATGAGCCGAAGGTTTGTGATTCTATTCCACGATTGTTTTGACTTCTTTTTTTCAATGGCACAATTTAGGTGCCACGTTGTCGATCACACACTGTACAAATTTCTATCATTTATATTCACGTGATTTTAAGTTGTAAACTGATTTATAAGCTACCCTTCACATTTCAGAAGTTATATAAAGGCGCGTCGATGCGTTGAAACTCTAAAAGTACATGACTTTGCATGTCTTTCTCCCTCTATCGATTCGCTCACCTGTGTCACCTAAATCATATATCCATTAGCGTTTGCAACTTCCTAACTCAGGTGCGAAGTAGGCTCAAAACTGTCACCGAACCCTAAGGCGTATTACTATTGCCTTACTTCCGATTCTGTTTAATTATCGGTTATTGGGATTTTCTGTTTTAGAATGACCCTCATCATGTGGTATATTGTTTAGTTTAAGCTTGCGCGCTTTCACTGTTCACTAGTATATTAAGCTTCTTTTGAACGCGTAATATTGGTGCTTTAACCAATTTTGTTTATTTTAACTATGCCTAACCGTCATTATGGTAACCAATTGTGGAGGTCTTTCATAGGTGTTTGATTATACTAATTTAATGCCTCAGTCGTACTCGCAAGCGATTCTGCTTTGGTAGTAGGTGTTTCCTTGTGTGACTTTTGCTAATCGGCTGCTTATCAGATCACAATTCATGCAAGAAATAAACGTTCTACCTAAGTAGCCCACTAGGCTAACATCGGGTTTAAAATCATGTACTAAGCAGCCGGGACGTAATAAAAACGACGAAAAAGTTCTTGATGGCACTCGGCACATTCTTTATCGTCGATCACCATGGTGATCTGCGGGACTTCAATTTAGAAGAAATCAAAATGTCGTTGGTTTGCATTATTTTCACGACTTCACATTTCGTGGTATTCGCTTTGCCGAAAAGGTACTGTGTTACTTTAATTTTTGAAGGCTTTTCTGAGTTGTGGCTTAGAGTTAATGAATAGACCTCTAAAATTTACGATATCTGTTTCATGTCGCTGAGATTGGCAGAATATGGTGAAATTTTGTGTGTTGCATAGCGTCGACACGTAGCATCGTTCGCTCACAGTATCTGGTGGGTGCTTGAACCAATAGACTCATGGAATCTTGACACATGCAAATCAAATTTTAAATGTCTAAATGTAGTCGATTAAAGCAGCCTTTTGCTAGTGGAGCACGACTTGGCTTCAAAACATCCTCCAATTGTGTCTGTGGTGCATCTGTTCATGTGTTCCCTCATGCACTGCGGTAATCTCATTTGTGTGTTTTGAGGGCTAAATGAATGTGCGTATTTTCCCCTCTAAATATTTCGAAATTTAGCATTGAAAATCCACGTAATTTGTTTACCTCTTTCATTTCATTCAAGCCGTTTCCGTGTTTTACTTTTAAGTGGAATTTCGTAGATATTTTAAACTACTGGCTCATTGTGCTTTCTCAACAGGTCATGAAATAATTAGGTACCTCCACGGCAAACAAGTATAAAGGCATTCTTTTAGCTCAAACATTTGGACAATTTCTTTGTTGGTGTATTCCTTTCCTTTCGCACCTTCCTTCATGCGCTCTTAGACTAGGATGTTTATGACTTGAAATCACAGTCCTCAAAATGCCTAACATTCTATCTGAGTTTACACCTTAACAACTGCTAAAGGGCCTCGTAATGTTCGTTGATAACAACTATTCCCTACGCAATTTTTACGTAAAATGACTTCCCAATGCGTGAGTGGGTTTCATGTCTTTTCTACTCTCTTTTTTCTAGCATAAAATAGCGCGGACCATCAAAAAGGTAGCTAATGGCTTGACCACTATAACCTCTCCTAATCCCTGAATTCTCCTCAAAGTTCATTGTTCCTTTTTAGAAATTACTCTTAGAACCACCAATCACGGTAAAAAAAACAACTTTTCACACTTTTTAAGCCTATGCCTTGCATTCTCTTGGTGTGAGCACTTCCAATCAATACCCACAAAGTTTGACGTGTGTGACATTGTTCTTGCACCATCTCTGTGTGTTTACAACCCACATGAAATAACTTGAAAAAAAAATGCTTTGATGTACTATGCGGAGCACTTAAGATTCCCAAGCTTGGCTTTGTCGCCTTGAGTGGGCTTCAAATGTGCACTGACGACCACCAACTTGGCACGTTTAAGAGACCGCAATTATTGCCCTGTTCTACTATGATGATATTTGTCGTAGCATTTCCATGTTGTAGTCTTCTTTTCTTATTGTTTAGGATAAAGCTGGAAGTCATGTGACCTTGGTAATTGTGCAAGCCTTTGCATCCCTCGCTTGCGTAATTTATAACCGTAATGCGATTTTAACCTGCCAACGTTGTCTCAAATTTGCTTTTTTCGAATTCTCGGTTTCTCAAATGCTCGTTTTGCATTTTTGTTGACCTCCACCACAACAACGTGTAACCAAATGGTTTTTGCAAATATCTGCAGGATTAATCACATGCTGTCTACTTACCTGATTCTGTAACTGTCCGAATTTTCATAAGTGGTAGTCTGCGTAGAAGTGTTTCGTGTTTCCCGGCCAAAAATTTAGCCGTAGGCGAAATCACTTTTAGGGCATTGTGCTCATCAAGTAGTTGTCTTAATGAGTTGTTGACTAACTCGGCACTGAAATCAACCTAATGTGAACCAAAGAAATGACCGACTTTTTGTATGTGAGGGTGCATATTTTGCCGACATTGTAAAAATTGACTCCCACACGTCTTTCGCGTCATTGCTGGCCCATATTCTGCGGATTCACCTATCACGACTGCTGTTTCTCTTTTTAAATCGACAAAGTACTGCAAAAGGTACCGATGTATTAATACGTGTACTTTAGATGATAATCAGTACAAACTCCTTCGCCGTTGCTTTTCCACCCTAATTTTAATTTATTTGGAAATCTTTAAAGCTTGGTTCTACATCCCCCATGCTACTCGTTTCATTCAATGGACCATTTATCCAGACTGTGCCGGCCAACAACCCCGCTTATTTCGACACTATTTTTGTGCGCCGTGGCTGGGCTATATAGCAAAGGGCTGTCTTCTCTAGGTTATCTAAGTAGCGTAAACGGGCCAATTCAACACTGCGGCCTCGGCGTGGTCCAAGACCACATGTCGGGGCCCTCAACAGACGACACACAAGTTGAATTCATTTGACATATTTCTAACCCAATTTGCATTTATGCTGCCTGTCTCTAAAGTAGACCGCTGTATCTACCTACTCCGCTTTGCCAGTAATCAATAATCGCCGTCGACAATAACCATCCCACAGCAGTTGTCAATCGGCACTCAGCCTCAAGTTATTCTTTTTTTTTTGTTTTTCGCCAATAGCAACAAAAAGCGCAGCACAACAAGGAGCAGATGGAGAAAGCCGCGAGGGAGAAGGAGCTGCGGCTTCGTGAGGAGGAGGAACTTCAGCTGGCCCTCGCCCTCAGTGCCAGCGAAGCCGAGTCCAAAAAGCAAGGGGTGAGGCCTCTCCCTTCGACATCGATTACTTGCGCCACATTTCTGTATGGTTTGACCCTAGTGGCTTCTCAAAGCACATGGGACTCAAGATTTTTGAATTATCGATATTTTTGTCTGATTATTGATATACAGAAATTACTTTTCTTGCTTTCTACCGTTTGCGTTTGTCAAAGACTTTCAATATCCTTGACACCAATGTGTTCTACAACCTCTCCGTCGAAATCGCGTTGCTCATCGTTTTGTGTGCGTTTTTTTGAATTGGTCAGTAAACCTGTCACCTGGTTACTCAGACGTCTTGTCGTGCAATTAGCACCCACCGAGGCTCATGTATTTGGCCTGATTTAGCGGGAAGCCATTTTCATCACTTGCTAATTTGTTGATTGCACTCTGCGCCTCAAGGTCTCTAGCATTCCGGCGTCTTCGCTGCCAAAAGACGCTCCCAGCGCTTCGGGCGCTGCCGAGAACTCCGTACCAGCATCGTCGGTGGCGCCGGTGTCTGAAGCCACCAACGACCCGACCACGGAGGTCGATCCAGAGCTCGCTCACTACCTCAACCGCAACTACTGGACTAACCGAGCTGCCACGGCGGACAGCGACTACTTCATACCCGGCTTCAGCCCCAGCGCTCCTCCCCCCGTCAACCCCGACTACGAGCCGAGCATTCCTGATTTGCAGGTTGGTTTTCATCTTTGTTAGTGGACTTAACCTCTATTGGTTCACTGCCTGTCCAAGGGGTCGTGGCATAACGCTTAATTCTTGTCTGTCTAAACACGGTTGCGCGTTTTATGACGTGTGGGTAGGTCTTTTCCTCCCACTTCTCTCATTCCTCCAAAATAACGTCGGTTTCCAATAGATCCTGCAATTTTATTTATGTTTTAGTTCGACAGGTATGGTTTGTAATTGTCTGTAACTTGTGCATTTGCCGCAACGTTATAAGTAGTCCCCCATCAAATCTGTGTGGTCACGTCACCAATATGCCTTACCAACGTTATAATCATTATCACCTTCCGCTTAGTAGGTATTTGATCATTCAACATCGCTAATTATTTGCAGCTGCGTAAACCAGACATTGACGAGAGTGTACAAGCAGCTACTGACTCGGTACGTTTAGGTATCAGTCATTTGGTTTTTTTAACCTCAGTAGTGCTCTTTTGTGCCCTCAATTACTTTTTTGCTGTTTTCCAAAACTCTCAACAGAAGCATTGTGACCTCTAACACTGTAAATTCTTTAAGTTAGTGGCATGTGAAGTTGGGGTTTGCCCAAGCCAAAGTTAACTTCGCAACGGCAGAGCCCAGTTTCGAATTGCATCCCAGCTAGAATTGACCGCTCTGGCTTGATCGTTTGTTATGCTTCAGGCTTTACCCCCCGAAATACCGCGATTTCGTGTTCACAGAAAAACGTGATTTTAACTTATAGCAGAGCACCTCAGGTCGGCGTCTTTAAGATGGTTCACTGTAAATAAATTACCATGAATTCATCTAGCTCAATGGTATTCTTAAAAAATAAGCTTGCCTGATAGTGTTCCGTACAAGAAGTAGGCTACTATTTAGTTTCTAGCATTATGCTTTTGGTTTTAAAGCCGTTTTATTCCAGTTGCAAACCTACCCAAGCATTTGGTTCCTTTAACTTAATTGAGCTGAAAAACTCACAAGGCAACTGCATATACCGGATGCTCGCATAACTACTGAATCGCTGCATAAATTCTCAAAGCTGACCCACCAATTACTAATCTGCCTTTTAACATCAAGCGACGCTTTTTCGCCATAATGCAACGTCACGCCAGCTCCCAAATTTACCGTCACTCATCACTTGAATGATTTTCAGTGCAAAAGTGTGTCGGGGGATCCAGATGTCGAGAACCAAGACGTAAGTGCCAGATGTCATGCTGAAATCTCATGTTTTTCTAATAACCTTGATGTGCTCTGCTCGTGTGACCGTCAAACGTCATTGTTAATCAAATTTAAGCGCTGCGCGAAGGTGGTATTAAGTTAGGCAGATTTTGGCTTTGATGGATCACATGAGGATGGTGTTACTCTCAAGGCTCCACGCAACACTGCTACGCCAGTCGATATTTCACACATCTTAGTCGACCTCTGTCTTATTACGTACCTTGTGTGATGCGCAAGAGGCCTATGGCAATTCCGCATTTTAGACCGGCCTTAAGAAGGCCCTGGCATCTGTTGAGATTCCGTTTGACGGAAGCGCCTTCCCCGGCGTGCCTCCATTGACATCCGCTAAGCAAGAGGAGTTCCTCAACGCCCTCCGCAAAAGCCTAGACGTCTTTACCAATCGGATGCGCGTGAGCAGCCAGCGTGGCAGGCCCATCGCCACTGACTCAACTTTGCAAACGTTGTTTCAGACTCTGCATCAAATGCACCCACAGTTGCTGAAGTATTCCACTGATCTGGAGGCCAGAAGATGTAAGTAGTCCCGCAATTGGCATCAAACTGTTAAATGCCAACGTTCTTGATAGTCCAGGCTTTGCAGTATACCTACACCAACCTGGATTCGCAAAGCTATCCTTGTCCAGCTTCGGAGTGAATTTAGACTTACTGATAGATGTTAACTGCTTGGGAAAATTTTCAGGTTACTAATTAATACTTCCGATATCTTCTAACGCTCATACTCCTAACTAGACAGGTGGCTAACTCGTTCTTCGTGTCTCCTGTTCCCAACAGGGACTCTCAATGCGTACACAGCACTAACAGGGAAACAAAAGTGCAAAAGCTTAGGTATTCTCCTATCAACATATTGAGACCACGTGTTGTCTATGAGTACCGTCGTCATTGGTGACTTCTTGTTACTTGTGGGTCTTTTAACTCGACCTAAGATCTACCGAGATTAAGCCACTTTGGATGGTGCACTTGAGAAACAACGTGGTTATTGCCGATGGCTGTTTGTGTTGGTGTTAGATGTGTTTTGGCTTCATTGCAGCCTACCTAGAAAAGCTACAGGATCAGACGACCCAGGTTCGTGAGTCCCGTGAGGCACTGGACGCACTTCGAAGGGACTACGCCGAACAGAGACGACGAGAAGAGGAGGAGGCACATCGGCAACGTCAACTGCAGATGATGCAGAAGGTCGAGGTTCTTCGGCAACAGAAAAGGGTAAATACTGTGCATGCACAATTGCCCAACTTACACACGTTATAAGATGCGCTGACTAGATATGCCCTAAAGTTAGCTGTGTAAACCGGACAGAATCTCATTGCGCAAGCCTTGATATTAGGCAATGCTGGTTAAACAGTGACTTAGAAGTTGATCTACAGAAGTGTTCAGACTTGTCGTTGAAAGGCGTGTTGTTGTAGGATGCTATGGAAGCGCAGCGCCGCTTAGTGATGGAGCAGACAATGGCCTACCAACAGCAGTACGGCCAGTACCTCTATGGGCAACCCAGTGCAGCTGCCATGTACGCCGGCATGCCACCACCCCCTCCTCCTCCTATGATGGCCTACGGTGGTAGTACCCTGCCGCCCCCTCCCATGGGCTACCACCAAATGCCCGATTATTATGCCGTGGCTGGTCAACCTCTGCATGATCCGTCGGTCCAACAACCCCCAATTGAGCAGGAAAACCAACAACCGCCCGCCAGCAATGAGGCCAACGGGAATCGGCCTGTGGCAAGTCAAGAGCCCACTGACGCCTTTGAGGTTCAAGGTGCGTAGGCTTTGCTTTGTGAGATTACTGATCGGTAATAATCGACCTTCGGGTTCGTAAATCATTCCTACGGTTTACCGAATGACTTATTTGCACGACATAACAGCATCGGTTAACGGGAATTATGCTCGTTTAATTACTGAGTACGTGTTTCTGTTCTATTAAGCGTCTAGTGATTAACTGGTTTTTCGTTGTCATAACTACGGTTGCATGATATTGTCGTTTAGTTAACAACTCACGCGTGTATTTATGCTAGGCGCTAATGAAATTGCGCTAGCATCAGATATTATTGGACGAATGCTGCCATTGATTGCTGCCTGATTTAAGTTAGTCACGTCGTCCACCTATTTGAGGCACACTTTATATACTACCATAGTTGTTCCATTACCTTGGCACATTTCCACCATCGGTTTCCGTTGTGACCTTATGCAAAATCCTGGCCCTTTTTAAAACTACCCATCTGGACACGGGCTTATCACTGCAGATTGGCATCCTCCCAGCCCTAAATAACTCTACACTGTATCCAACGGGTGTTCCGTATCGCTTGATTTTAGGAATGACACAGTCGCTGCCCCCACAAGTGCAGCCACCGCCGATCCAACCCGCAAATGCAGCTGCCCCGCCTACGGTCTCCGCTCTGCTCGATAACCTACCGGCTCCGCCTTCTGAGGAACTGAAACCGCAGGCGAACCCGCCCGAAGAAAAGAATGGTGAATTGAAATCGCCAACTCCACAGCTCATCTGTCTAGAGTAGCGCAAATCAATTTGTGTTCCTTCGCCATTACAGACATCCAACCAACCTCTCTTAATATCCTAAGTTCATCCTTGCTTTCCACTATTGACTTTCCAAGACGTGCGTATTAAAGAGATGCAATCTCACCAAGGCTCTGGCTTCTGTGTTTATTTCAGCGGCAAAAGAGAAAATCAAAGGGGTGGCCAGTGGCAAACAAATGAACCTTTTTTTTGTTTGCCTGCGTTGGTTGGCGCCTTGTTGGGCATGACTGAGTTCAGCAAATATTCTCAGATCGTTTACATGCGTTGAAAGGAGAAGGCGATGTTACTATTGCTTCCGCTAAGCAGGTTGTCCACAAAATGGTCATCTTTTCATGACCCCTTCTTCGGCCTTAGGGACAAATTCGTGAAGCCGACAGCATATTAGTTTCCAGGTTTCCCAATAAGAATGTAAGGGAGAAGGACAACACGTCATACGGTGCATTCAGGCCTGGTGGGAGTCGATCAGGTGCTTACCGTAATTTTAGGAAAAAAATGTGCTTTTGGGAGGAAGAATTTATTGCCGCAGTGTTCAAAGAATGTCTTTTTCCAACCGAATCTCTGTGAACCCGCCTTCTCTGGGGGGGTACTGAAAGCTGGTGAACCGGACATCGAGAATGGCGCCGTTATCGACCGCCAACACGGGATACACAGTTCCTCGGACGCCCGTTACTCCGGTCAGCCGCAAGTTTTGATCACGGAAATACTGCGGTACACCGTTAACAGCGAAGCGAAGTTCCGTGTGGTCGTAGAAGACCCCGAGGATGTCTCCTTCTTCGAGCGCGGAGTTGCCCTTCACAAGGGATTCTAATTCCATCAAACGGGTTGAGTTGTGATAGATACCACCGTCGTCGAATAAAGCCCAAGCAGAGGCTTGCTTTCGCATTTCTTCCGCGATATTCAGGTTGGCCTGTTCACGTGAAAGAAGAATTGCGTTAGGAATTGATGTGGGTAATTACAACAAGTATACATGGCTGTGATTCCTCAATTGGCGGTGGTGGGGTTCATGTGTCCGAAAAGTTTTGTTAAGCTTGGTTTAGAGGTTTCTAGCCCAGGCTGAGATCGGTACCCGGATCAGTTTCGGAGCTCAATAAACTAGACTAGGACTATGGACCCTGCTAGGCTTGGAGGACAATGTGTAGTAGTAAACAGCTCGTAACAACCCGAGAATGGAGTGGATAGAGGTGACGGAGGACACGACCGTTTATTGGCGTCACACCAGCCAGGTGTGTACGAGTGAACGGATGACAGGCATTTGACAACAGTAACCAATGGAAAGGAGATGAGTCATTGTCACCGTCAGGTCAGTAAACAGGGTTCGCTCAGGCGCGATCGCTGTTAGTCCGTTACATATAGATCCTGATAACCTTCGTCGACCGTTGACGATGCGATATCTCCCTCCCATTGCACTTTCGTGGTGATAAAGGTAAATGCACAAGCCCTCATGAACCGCAGATTACGAAAGAGGGGATAAACCATGAAAATATGTGTAAATACTGAAGGGGTACCTGAGAATGGCATAGTCCGACGGCCCACAGACCTCCAGATTGTACCTTAACTTCAAAATACGCCTTGTCCTGAACAATGGGGACGTCTGTCCTGGCGGCGCCGCTACCACACAGTCGTGTGCCGCTCTTCACAATCACCGCGTACTGTCCTGCGGAGGCCACGTCAAGCCGAACGGAGGTTTGTGGCTGTGGCTGGGAGAATGTGTACCGGGGAACTAAGATTTCGCTCTCGACCGCATCTTCTTCGTCACTATATAGACGAAGGGAGTCCCAATTGTTGACTTTACGTCTGTTTTGGTGTCGCTGGCGACTGCAGCAACCAAATAGTGCTAGTACTGATGCTGGAGTGACCATTATAAACCAACTGAAAAAAAAGTGCACCGCATGAATGAACGGCTTAGGCGGGTCGGCTTTAGCAGAGTCTTATAAAATTATGTAGGAAATTGTGCACGAACGGCCCACTAGGTATCTTCACTGTTTCCTACGTATTATAACGAAGGTCATACTAAACACAACCACCGCTGTGCATGTACTCATCCCACGAAGGTACGTGCTGAACGTTTCCCCCTGGTGTTTAGTCACATGTCACGTGCGCAACACGTACAGGCTTTACAAAGTACGATTCGCTGACTGAATGCGTTTTGGCGATTACTACTGCAGAACTTCACCGCTAAATTTGACTAGAGTGGTGCTTGTGCTCAAGGTATTGCCGATCAAAGTTAACACGACCCCTGGACTGCCATCCTAAGAGTTACTTTTGCACAACCACTTACGATTTTGGTTAGTAGTGCACTCATCCTATCGACACTCTAGCCACTTGCAAATTATGATTGCCCTCGCTATCCTGCACAATACACGTCTGGACATCGCGTACTAGATGTCGCTACAGAAAGAACTCGAGGGCAAGCACATTCACCATAACCTGGGACTATCAGATCAGTCGTCAAAGTAGAGGTCCACTTTGTTTTGTGGAGATGGCTGGTTTTTTAACTTATTAGGTGCTGGGCTATTGAAATCCCTTGCTTCACCATAACAGAAACAGTCAGTTCGCCAAAATATGTGCTTTCCGAACCCATGCCAGTGGAACTGGAAGTTTTATACCTCGAAACAACTGTCAGACTTCGAATCCAACCTTTCGTGCAACTATCGGCATGAACCAATGAATGCGGTATCAGTTTACGGGAAAAAAAACATCGCAGTGGAGTGACGCCTGGTCGATGCATTCACATAAGCAAGCGATGTCGAGAATTACACAAACGGTCACAGGTGCTTCCGACTATCTGCAACAGAACTACCTTGTAAGTTAGATCTACTATAATCTTACCGACAGCATTCTCTCAATACAGCGTTAGTGTATCCAGAACCTGGATTAAATCAGACGCCCATGACCACATAATATAAACGTGAACCAATAAATCGTCGTATGACAGACATTTTTGAGCGATTTTCTACAACCAATATTTTAAGCAGCCTTACCACTGTAAAAATAGAGCAAGTTCCTTAGACGTGGTTGCAATGATGCAATAACAAACTTGAACATTCCTTGATGCAAATTGCGTAAAAGGAGACCCGTGTGCTTGAAAGCATTAGCACAGCAGAATTACAACGTTTAGACAAGCGTGTAAAACGACTGAACAGCTAGAGTTGTCAGAGTTAAGTGTGGAAGCAAGAAGCACCATCAAGATTCCGCTAAAGTGTGTATTTCAAGAAAAAAAATAACAAAATTAAATTATGCTCAAAATCACAATTGTCTTGGCTATTTACAGACGTGTGTGAGGGAAGGGTGTCAGCTCACACGAAAGACGCCAGCCAGCTTGTCAATCCAAAAGCGCTTCGATTCGGCTACAACAATACAAGTGGTTGTGAGTTTCGCCAGTTAGCACCGGGCCAACGAGAGCTGCCATTTCAACTTGCCCATTGAAACGCCAGGTAGTAAAAGCACAACTCACTTGTTATTCGAGCCACATCGACCTTCTTCCCGGAAAAGACTAGGAAAACCTCGCGCTTGTTCACTCGACACAGGTACAGCCAAGTGTCCGGTTCTAGCTTGAGAAGGCATTCACACCACCGCTGTCCGAAACTTAGAAGTACAAATAAGATGTGTATCGCTGCACTCAGGTCACTAACAAGGCATTTTTTGTGGAATTAACGCACCAAGAAACGGCATCTTGACGGGCCGCGAAGATGACAGGCAAAAGGGGCGCAACCGCCGGCTGGACTTCGCCGAGTCCGCCAGAGTGCAGAACGAAGAAGTTGGTTGACACCGAGCACAAATCGGGCTCCCAGAGGAAAAAACCGCTGATGGAGGGGTACAGAGGTGTTGTGGTGGCCGATTTTGAAGAGGAATCGGTGCACAGTGCCAGGGTTGTCATGTCGAAGGCGAGGGCCAAGCTTTAAAGTGGCAAAAAGGTGCCGTGAAAACGAGTGGCCAGTCGGCGTCCAAGAAACGCAAATTTACGCTTCGTTGGGGCATTTTTGCGACAACACACCCCTTCACCTTTACCTTGATGTTTCTTCACATTCAATTGCGAAAGACAGCTTTGTCATTGCCTCCCCGTACAGATTGTTAAACGTTTGAAAAAATTCTCTCCGTAATTCGTTGTTACCTAAAACAGTGAGAAGGATCACGTGACCATAATGATGTTATCTAATTGTCGTCAGGTAAACGAAAAGCACGAATTAGAACTGTTGAATGACGCAAACGTTCTGAATGCGTAATTTGGTGTGATCATGTACCACTAAATACGGAACTGTGAACGAGAAGATTTAGACTGAAAAGATACCCAAAAAGAACGGGTAACGTCTTCACACACACACACACACACGCTACGCAATTGCGAAGCGTAAATGAATACACAGATGAAGTCACAACGATTTAGCGTTTCATGAGTCACATCAATTGCACAAACACACAATACAGCCACGCACTGCGAGCGATACCGACTAGGTTCTGCCGGATACAGCAGTACACACCCGTCAAACATTATATTTTGCAATACTGCTAGGATTTACCACCAATGAAGAGACAGATGGTTAGTCTCAGCGCGCGATAGACCACAAGATGAGTTAGCTGATACTCCGAATTCGGAAGTTGTAGGTAAACCGTCGGAACTGGCATCTGTGCGGGACAAAGGTCTTCACCCATGTCCGGAGGGCCTGTCAGGAACCTAGGAAGGTTAAATTTACAGATTAATGGTCCCGCTCGATGCCAACAAGGTATATCCATGGTTTAGACTAAAATACCTTAAATACCATTGAAAAAATATTCATTATTAGCATTTAGAAAAAGAAGCCTGAAATGTCCTTTTGCCGGTTAAAAGGCACACTGGTTCTAAAAAAATAGGACATACCTTTTTGTGCCGCTCTTATGAGGTAACAACCAAAAACGAGTGAAGCCAGTGTGCATACAATTACCTGCCCATGTGAGGCGCTTTAGGCGAAATGGCAGCACGATCGAGGTCGGGGGGCAGGCTCATTATGTCAGAGACGATGTAGTGGAGGGCAGAGCACGTGACTTCGACAGGCAGCGATGACCTCGAGGGACAAAAGACGCTTACAATGGCCTAAAAAGGCGACTTTTACTGCATTCAAACCGAATCTCAGAGTGAAGGAGATTGTGTTAGCGAACAAAAAGCACGTCCCTTGTG